TTTTTTTTCTTCTATGGTAGGGTATGTCAACTTAAATCACAACTTCTCATTAAATAAGTAACACATTTTTATACAAAATAATTTGATAAAAATAAGAGGACAATGTTGATTTTGAGGAAGAAGAAGAGAAAATGAGGATTGAATTTTGAAACAAAGGTGTCTAAAGGCAAAGGTGTCTCTCATGATTCTTCATTATTGGCACTCTATTACACAAACACACATCTCTTACCCTACCAACACTGCCCACGTGGCATTCTTCATCTCTCCAACCTTCCAACATCCTCATTCTATCATTCCTATGCATGTCGGTATATTTTATCATTTCTCTTTTTCTATTCTTTTTCCACATAAATTATTACATTTTGTGAGTATGATTTAAATATATCTCATATTTTAATTATTATTTTTGGAATACGTATGTCCACCTAGTATATATAATATGGAAGAGGGAACCAAATGTTTTATAGTATTTTTTAAGCTAAAATAACTGAATAAACTGTATAAACATACAATTATCAAACAACATGGTCATATAATTTTCTTTTGTATTTTAAAAGTTTAAATATTTAACAACTATATATCTAATAAATAACTCAACTAAATTTTATGTATCGTTTTATAGATATATATATTTTAAGACCAAACTTGACTAATTTAATTAAAGATGAACATGTTTTATAAATAGTATATCCATAAAGCAAAATAAGATAAACCATTTAGACGTAAACTTGTGGAAGATAAAATTTCTTTGGAGTTTAAAATCTTATAAAAGAAAATCATACTATAAAGTTAAATAAAAAAAGAAAATAATAGAAGAGGCCAACTATAACCAAAAACATATGTAACACAAGAACCTCGACAAACTGGAATCAAACTAAACCAAACAAAAAAATCATTATCCTAAAGAGGTATTTTGATTGAATAAATCGAAGATATCCACGAAGATCAATCGATAATCAAATCCTTCTCTGAAATATTATATTACCTAAAAGTAGAAAAATTCTAATGTTAAATTTTATAATTCGGCAAGATAGAACCAATCAGAATTCCTCTCACTTTTTTCACCATCATGTTATTTATATTTTAAACATTTTCTCTTATTATTAATTATTATATTTTAATAAAAATTATAACTCTTTTTTTATTTTCATGTAGAAAATAAATTTACAACTTATTTACATGAAGTTTTGCTTTAAAATGTAACTTTACCTTCCATTTATGATATATACTGTTTTTAAGAAGAAAAAAGTAGTAGTTAAATGAAATAAAAATCTAAAAAGCAGTAAACATCATTCTTAATTTTGCACAATATTCTTTGTAAGAAATTATTTTTAATGTTCAGTGGATGTAATTGAGAAGAGAATGTAGTATGGACCTCTATTGCCATAGGTGGTCTCTAAGAGTAAAAAAAATAAAGGCACTGCCACTTCTGTGAAAACTTCAGAGAGTGAATGGCAAAAAATTGTCACCGGTGACGTCATCAAGACAGCAACAACCACTAGTTTCAATCTCGATGGTTTACAAGACTCTCTCCACATCTAACCATTTTCAAACCTCTTTTATTTCTTTTTTACTTCATTTTTTATTTTTCTTTGTTGTGTGAAATTTTATTAATAATATTTTGGTAAAATAATCTAAGGAATACAAATATAAGTTAGCTGAAGACAAGATTTATTCGGAGTTTAATACTAAAAAATATCTAAAAATAGATGAACAATTCTATATGCGAGACCATAAAAAACTGAAAAATTAGATACAAAATAAACAAACTAAACTCGTCAAATAATTTTATTTTTAATTTTATAATAATATGTTTCGAAAAAATCTATGATCAACCATCGATAATCCAAACCTCTTATTAAAATGTCAAACTGTTTAAAAGTAACAAAATTCATATCATAATCTTCATACCGACAAGATAGAACCATTCATAGTTCCGCAAACTTTTCTTCTAACATCGTAACAAATTATTATTTTCTGTTTTTGTTTTCATTTTTATTCTCTTGGCAAAATGTTTTCATTTTTATTTGTTTGTGAATTTCTCCCAAATGCTTATCTACTACCTTTTCTTGTTTGTAACAAATAATCATTTTCTTCTTATTTTTTTTGCTTTTGTTTTTCTCAAAAAATTGCAAAACCTAGCTACCACAAAAAATTATTTACTTTATTACCACCTATAGTTTATGTACCATCTAAGTAACTAGGGATATGTCTATATTCATTTGGTAACATAGCAAAATGTTTTTTCTTCCATAAGAAACATAGACGATGCAAATTTACAATCAATGTTATGTGTGTTCTTACATGGTATCGTACGTTACAAAAGCTTGAAGTTTGATTTTTTTTTTTCCCTTCATCATCTGAACATGGACAAGAATAGCATTACATGAAATGTTGCGTTCATCTATATGATTTAACAATAAGTGGTAATGCATAATTTTTTATGCTATCACTAGATTTTAATATAGAATTAAAAAAACAGTAGATTTTGTGGAAGACTACTGATAAATTGATCGTGATTGATGTCATGTGAACTATTTCTTATTTTTGTTGCTGTCGTATATCATGAACAGAATTGATATGTTTCTTCACTACGAAATATAATTTATTTGGAGTTTTGTAAAGCTAAAATATGGTATTTTGTCTCAAATATATATATGTATAGATAACTAAACAATAAGAAGCTGTGTATGGTCTATTCTCGTGTGAAGTCTTCATTATCCTTCTGTAGCAATCACATGTTTTAAAAAAATTTCATTTAGGTCAACTTGTTAGACAGTAAATAATCATACGATATTTGGTTTAAACTATCAAAATTATTTGAGAAATTGGTGTATTGTGCATTGTAAGATCAATCCCACAAAGCTCAAATCATATGATATTTTCTGTATTAGTACTGGTCAAAATATTATGATGTTCTTTTAGTGATATAATTTTGTAATATTAATATTAATTCTACTTTTCTCAAGTTTGTATATTAGGTTATTGGGTTCTAGTTCTGATGAGTTCACTACTTCGACACTACTTGGCAAATCAATAGACCAAAGAACACCTAGGAAGCCTAAAACATTGTTGGACATAGGCATTATAATGGTTTGACAAAGTATATAATGGTTTAGTAAGTATCATGGCTAAGCATATAAGGAACCTATAACACAATATACTTGAAAGGTGCACCTAATAGGTTTAGCTTAGTCAAAGCAATGATTTTATTTGTGTGTACATTCTTGAGAGGCTTGTGGTTTTTTTTTCTTACCATGCTTATGATGTGTATGTGTTTTTTTAAAGCCTTTAAGGGTTTGGTTTTTAAACGACTAGGAGCAAACTACTTTGTGGAAGATGTTTATAGAAGCGCAAGATTTATCTATACCTCGTTTGGTTGTTTATCCATGTACCATGAGTTGAGTTTTTTTTTTTAATATCAAATATATAAAATTTAACTATGATGCTTACATTTTAGTTTTCTCTTAAATAAATATGCACCATTGAAATAATCAATAGCTAAGATTGCATGCAACATATATTAGTAAAGTAATTTCACTGATATTTCAAAATTCTGTTCATGTGTTTTCTTTCTTTAATACCAGTTTGATCGAATTTTAAGAATGTGTGTTTAAGTGAATAAACTGACTTATGTGTTGAATGAGTTCTTATAAAATAATCGATTCTCACTTCCCTTTCATTATCTTTTTTTTTTCTCTTAAAATTAATATACAATATACAAACTAGATACTAGCAAAAAACAAAGCCTTCTACTACAAAAAGTAAAATTCATACACATTCTCACCAAAACTTCACAAAAATAAGGTTAGACACTACTTACCACTTGTAGATCGGACCGCTTAAAAAATTCTATTTATTAACTTCTTTCTCTTGCATATAATGACATAAAGAAGGTATAAGGGGTATTAATATAAAAAAGTTTTTTCCATTCGCGACACAAATATAATCGACTCTTAAATCATATCAATAAATAATCCAAACATTAAATATGGTTAGTAAAAAATAATACAAAAAATATCCAAATTATAGTGAATACATATATCTTCAACTGATTTAGTTAGATCCACATAGTCAAGACAACCTTCAATTTAGCAATACGCACTTAACTGCATATTTATTTTTGTTGTAGATCTGCACCAAAATCTTCCGATTTGATTTGGCTAAAACTCTCTTATAAAAACTTAATAGTTTCAAATTTCTTGACGAAAAAAAAATATAAACTACCAATAATTCACCAACTTCTAATTCATTAACTATTAAATCTTTAACGAAAAAATTATATAAACTACCAATATTTCGCCAACTTCTAATTCATTTCGTTTATGATCATTTAGACTTATCACTAAAAGAAATTTAAGATGACTTTGATTTTTCCCACTGAAATACCTAATCTATCTCTGAAAATATTTTTTAAAAGCCAAGAAAATAACTAAATCTAAATCCATTGTTTTGAAAGTTGTTTGCAACGATTATCTAGTGATTCATCTTCATAAACTGTATATTAATTAAACAATGTGTTAAATTCTAAAAATTTCCTTAGAAAAACACATATAACTAATACATATTATATTAGAATAATCCAAATTTTAAACACATTGAACTTATGTGACTTTGTGTGTGTACGGGAAGCAATAACAAAAAAGAAAATATTTATTAGCTACCAACAACAAAGTACACAAATCCTCTAAATTATAATCTTGTAAAAAAAAAAAAATATTTATATAAAACACTTTTTTCTTTATTTCCTTTTATCTATTTTGTTTTTATCTAAAAACAAAACTTTTAGGATATTACCTCTCACGAAAAAAAAAAAAATTAAATTATTCGTCATACCACCATCGGAAAAAGACAAAAGACTTCGACTACCCCACTCAGTGGCACAATCCTGTAATTTCTACTAAACATCAATACCCTTTCTCGAATTCATCGTCTTCTTTGTTTTTAAGACAGTACCTTTTCCCCCATTTTCATTACTTTTTTTTTATTTTTCACCAAGAACTAGAGAAAAAAAATAATAAAGAGAGAAACAAAGATTTCTTCTTCTTCTTCTTCTTTAAATTTTCTTTGATAAGCTCTGTGTGTATCAATGGCTGGTGTTACTGGAATCTTAAAGCTTGAAGCTTGGAGTATCTTGTGAAGAAGAAAGAAGAAAAAACCAAACCTTTCTGGGTTTTTTTTTTCTTGAAGTTTCTTTTTTCTTTTCGTTTCTTTATTATTACAAGAAGTAATGGCATGTCGGAGTATGATCGCTTTTAGTTTAGATCCTGAGAGAAAACAAAGTGGAGGACTTCGAACAAAACAAGCTGGAAGAGGATCTTGCCGTGGAAGTTAGTCCTTTGTTCAAAATCCATTTTCCTCAAATCTTCTTAATGTAATATTAATGGGTTTTTCATATATTGTTAGAATGTTTTGTTCTTTTTGGTTTTGAAGTTTAAAGTTTTGATTTTTATCTTCTGGGCAGTTTGAAATTGCACTGTTGTAAGTGAAAAGATTAGTTCTTGTTGGAGCTGAAGTGAGAGTTGAAAGAGTAAAGAGAAGAAAGAAGCTATGGGGGTTTTGTTAAGAGAAGCTTTGAGGTCTATGTGTGTTAATAATCAATGGTCTTATGCTGTTTTTTGGAAGATTGGTTGTCAAAATTCTAGGTAACACTCTCTCATTCTCTTAACTGTTCTTGTTCTGTCTCTTAGATGTGACAAAAGTTTTGAATGAAAAGCTTTATTCAGTCAGATTTTTTTGAGACATGTTTGTTAGTTTTAAAGAATTTTTGATAAAACTCAGATCTCGAGGATGACTAAGAATTATTTATCTCTGTTTTTCCCTGATTTCTTGGAGTTTTGTGTTTGGTTTGATCTTGTTTGTCTTAAAGAATCTTTCGATTTGTAGTTGTTGTTTAGTCAAAAAAAAAAAAAAAAAAAGCCATATCCTTTTCACTTTGGTTAATGAATTGTCTAAAAAGAGTTCAAAGTTCTTAACTTTCATGTCATTTCAGTTTGTCTTGTTCGTTTTGTCTTTGTTTAGCTCAAAATCTTTTGTAAAATCGTCTTTTTCTTGTATTCTAACTTAACCATTGTTGCATCTTTTTGTCGTGTGTGTGTGTCATCTTTTTTAATCATATACTTAAGAAAAAATTTGGATGTGTTTTTGTTTCTTTGTGCAGCTTGTTGATTTGGGAGGAATGTTATAATGAAACTGCATCTAGCTCACATCCAAGAAGAGTGTGTGGACTTGGTGTTGATACACAAGGGAATGATAAAGTTCAGTTACTTACAAATAGGATGATGTTGAACAATCGAATCATTTTAGTCGGTGAAGGGTATGTATCTGTGTACTTGTGAAGTGTTTATGATTATGATGATGGTCTGAGTAGCTCACTTGGGATTAATGTACTGGTGTTTTAACAGGTTAGTTGGCCGAGCTGCTTTTACTGGACATCATCAATGGATTCTAGCTAATAGTTTCAACCGCGATGTTCATCCACCTGAGGTTATAAATGAGATGCTTCTCCAATTCTCTGCTGGTATTCAGACTGTTGCAGTTTTTCCTGTTGTTCCTCATGGTGTTGTTCAACTCGGCTCCTCTCTGCCTGTAAGTTAGTTTGTGACATGCTTTATTCTTTAAGTCTTACAAGTTACATTGTTGTGTAAAGAAAGACTCTTGTTTCTTAACTAAATTGTAAACTGTTTTGTGTTCAGATTATGGAGAACTTGGGGTTTGTGAATGATGTGAAGGGTCTTATACTGCAACTAGGATGTGTTCCTGGAGCTCTCTTATCTGAAAATTACAGAACATATGAACCTGCTGCTGATTTTATTGGTGTGCCAGTGTCCCGGATGGTACCTTCTCAAGGACACAAGATTCTCCAATCATCGGCTTTTGTAGCTGAAACTAGCAAACCACATTTCAACTCCACTGGATCATCAGATCATCGAGATGATCAAATGGTTGAAGAAGCTCCCTCTAATCTCGTGGATGAACAGATCAACCAAGCAAATATGAGAGAGAGAAATGATGGAGGATGGCAAAATACAATGGGTTATATACCAGCTCCGGAAGTTGCAGTACCCTCGAATCCAGATGCATGGCTGAATCAAAACTTCTCTTGTATGTCTAATGTGGATGCAGCAGGGCAACAAATCCAGTGTGATGACATCAGTTCCAAACGCTCGCTTGGAAGCGATGACTTGTTCGATATGTTGGGTTTGGATGATAAGAATAAAGGTTGTGACAACAGTTGGGGGGTTTCACAGATGAGAACAGAAGTGCTCACTAGGGAGTTATCTGACTTTAGGATCATTCAAGAAATGGATCCTGAGTTTGGCTCTTCGGGGTATGAACTTTCAGGAACAGATCATCTGTTAGATGCTGTGGTCTCGGGTGCTTGCTCCTCCACAAAGCAGATCTCGGATGAAACATCTGAGTCTTGCAAAACCACTTTGACTAAAGTTAGTAATTCTTCGGTTACCACGCCATCTCATAGTAGTCCTCAAGGTAACCAGTTATTTGAGAAGAAAAACAGGCAAGCAGCGGGGCCATCATCAGTCTACGGGTCTCAGATCAGTTCTTGGGTTGAGCAAGCGCACAGCTTGAAGCGCGAGGACAGTCCAAGGATGATGAATAAGAATGAAACTGCAAAACCGGCTAACAACCGTAAAAGGCTTAAACCAGGAGAGAACCCAAGACCAAGGCCTAAAGATCGCCAGATGATTCAAGATCGTGTCAAGGAGTTGCGTGAAATCATACCAAACGGTGCAAAAGTAAGTGAAAAAATTATCTGTTCTGGCGAAATTAAGCAGTCCCTTAGAAAGATTATTACTAACAAGTAGTAAATGTGGTTTTTGATTAACAGTGTAGCATTGATGCACTCCTTGAACGTACAATAAAGCACATGCTCTTCTTGCAAAATGTCTCGAAGCATGCTGATAAGCTGAAACAAACCGGGGAATCCAAGGTAAAACGAATAATTATATTTTGGTATCTATGCTGGATTCTTGTTTGTTCTGACATTTAGTTTTCTTGTTATAAAGGTTATGAAAGAGGAAGGTGGAGGAGCAACATGGGCATTTGAAGTTGGGTCAAAGTCTATGGTGTGTCCAATTGTCGTAGAGGATATAAACCCGCCTCGCATTTTCCAAGTTGAGGTAACACATTGCTACCTTCTAAATGCTTTCAAAGAAAACCATTCATGGTCTTGGTTTTCATCAAATCCGTTTCCATTTTTACGCGACAGATGTTATGCGAACAACGAGGATTCTTCCTAGAAATCGCTGATTGGATCAGAAGCTTAGGTTTAACGATCTTGAAGGGTGTCATCGAAACTCGAATAGACAAGATTTGGGCTCGCTTCACTGTCGAGGTACATACATATCATAAGTTACAAGTTTATTTAGCTTGGAAACATTAGAATTTGTGTTAGAATGTGTCTTGATTTAACCAAAACCGCGATACAAATTGCATTATAGGCGAATCGAGACGTGACAAGAATGGAAATCTTTATGCAACTAGTGAATATCTTGGAGCAAACAATGAAATGTGGAGGCAACTCTAAGACTATTTTGGATGGTATCAAAGCTACAATGCCTCTACCGGTTACTGGTGGCTGTTCAATGTAAACCAACACAAATTCTAAACCGTACCGGATTGGTTAAAATTCATATAGAGGTTACGAGCGGACCGCTCTCAAGGACTTAGGCTCGCTATGACTAACTTAAAACAAGTCAGTCTGAAAACAAAGATGGAATTATTTCTAAGTGTTTTTTTTTTGTTTCCACTCTTTTTTTGTACTTTTTGTTTGTACATTTTGCGATTTTTGGGAATTATCTATCATTTTGTGTGGATTTTTTTTTTGTTCACTTTTTAATTTTATGTTTTGGACTTGTAAATTTTTTTAAGTTGAAATTATTCTCAACCAGTAAGAGTTCTCACGGATTTCGAAACCGGTGAAAGAACCGGTCCATCATGAACAGCTTTAACAGTAGACAACAAAAGCTTTCACATGTTACAAGTAACTTTATGTTACTTTGATTAGTAGTAACTCTATGTATATAATTAGCTTATTATTAAAAAAAAAAAAAACAAGAAGCTCTTCTTTCAATAAACTCTACTCTTTATTAAAAAATGGGAGGCCTAGAATAAAAAGCTAATAATGGTTAGTTGTTAAATAATACTTTAGTTAACAGCCTTAATTATTATATCTAATGGATGTCTTAATCCATTCCTAAGTTTTACAATTTCTCATATAGATTAGTGGATCAAAATTAGTCTAAGATTTTGAATGGTTACAACAGTTAGCGGTTTAGTCCGTTTATTTTCCGTCATAAACCAATTCCAGTTGTATGTAAAAGTGGTATGTAGTTGATCCACAGCAGTTTTCTTTTATTTTTGTAGAACCGCATCATTACAAAATATATACAATGAATGGTAAATAAAAAGCGATCTAATTTATAGAACATATTTGTCCGCCTCAATCGTTGCAACCATTCGAATCCTAAATTTTGGAGGATACAAATTTAAAAAACTATGTTATGTTTTTGTTTGTTGTCTCAATATATGCTTTATTATTTTACCCTTTTGAGGTACATAAACTTTGCTGCAAAAGGTGGCCATGAACATCTTTGTTGTCCTGCTTTAGCCTTCTCCTCCACTCTAGAGATTATGATGGGTTTAATCGACAGCACATTATTATGATTTCACACAAATTCATTTTCTTGGGCCCTTCAATTTTCTTCATCACTTTTGAAATATGCTTCCAAGAATACTTTTATCTACAGTCTAGTAGAGAGATAATTTTCCCACTAGGCTACAGATGTTGTATATTCTTCTTTTTTCCTTTATACTAATATACAGTGTGCACTTTTTTTCAGTTGTGGAAATTAACCGCAAGTTGTATATATTATAGTATCTTATACAGTTTATGGGTAAATATGAATATAAATAGATACGACTATTAAAATTTCTTGAGAATTTTTGAGAAATACCTCTTTTGGTGTACCTCTTTTTAAAAATACCCTATTTATCTATCCATTTTCAAAAATACCCTTTTTTAAATATAAAAGATTATAGAGTTTTATATAGTTTATAAGGTACTTCTATATAATAACTATTACTGGGAGATTCGATACAAATATTTTAAAATGTTTTAAATAGTTTTAAATAGTTTTAAATCGTTTTTATAAGTTTTATAAGGTTTTTAAAAGGTTTTAAAAGGGTTTATACGGTTTTTATAAGGTTTTTATAAGGTTTTTATAATTTATTTTTACGCTATTTATGAAAGGTATATAAAGTTTTATACACATATAAAGGTAATTTATGTATATATTTTGTCAGCTTACACACATATTTGGATAAATTTCAACATTTTTACTGAGTTTTTTGATAAAGTTTGAAAATGGGGTATTTTTAAAAAGAGGTATATGAAAAGGGGTATTTTTGAAATTCCCCCAAATTTCTTAAAGGATATAGCATGATTCATTGATTTGTCTTGTTTGGAGGTTAAAAATAATGAACAAAGATCTCAAATTCTTTTATTATATGAGTAGATTAGATTAGGCTAAGAAAAATTAGATGTTTATAGATAAAAATGTGATTGTTTGTTTTTCATTCTGATTAAGTTATATAAGACCAAGGATTAAATCATTCACAATATAAAAGTAAAAAGTTCAAAAATCCAATATTGGGGAGGATCCATACAACAACAACAACAACAAAAATTGTAATAATCTTTTTAGCTAAATTAAAGTATGAGCTAAATTTTAGTTAAAAGAGAATATAATTGAATGTCTTTCAACTTATTAATTAGAAAGAAAATTATTGAAGTGTGTTTGTAAGAGATATAACAGAATTTCATATAGTTTTCTTAATTTGTGTTAAACATATCTGAATAATCTTCTTTGTGAAACATAGAGAATATATTTTAAAAATGATATCAAATATATATTTTCACTAATTCAATCTTATATATAAAAAAAACTTTACTCCTCATGATTTGAGACTTAGAACATATATGAGAAAATCATATGTTTCGGCTTTTAATCGTTAAATGGTCGTATTGATCGTTACCATCTACTACACAATGGTCACCATCTTTGAGCTCCTTCCACTCAAGGATGGAGCCTGGGGATACAGTTTACTGATTAATACTTGTATCTTGTATGTTTAGTAACCCCAGAATAATTAGATCTCATTGATTTATAATCAGTTAACTTATACTCTCTATGTTCCATTATAAGTGATGTTTAAGGTTTTGACACACTAATTAATAAAACATATAACTTACCCATTTTCCATAAAAACATCAGTAACTAATATGAATTCAACCAATAAGAAAATATGATGTAAAATATAATTGGTTAAAAAATATTAAATATATTAAATGTTTGCATAGAAAATTGAAAACATCACTTATACTAAAACAAAAAAAAATTGGCTAAAACGTCACTTATAATGAAACAGAGGGAGTATTTATTTAGTTTAAGAATCATAAAAATTTATCAGAATCAGTCAACATGATTAATGGTTTTTAATAATACCAAACTTTTCTTACTTCATTGATATTTTTTTTCTATAGCTTGTAGAGTAAATCAGAAGCAAAGAAAAAAATAGTACTATTTATATCTATATACTGTATTACTGTTATAGCAGTAAAGCAATTATTCTTACCCCATTTATCATTTACATGTTGACACTCTAAATCAGTTTAATGTTGTTAAAATCGGCAATTTAATCATGGATGGTGAGTGATACTAAGACAAATCTTGTTTATAGACGGTATAAGTCACTCTTTATTAGGTTGAAACAAGATTCACGACGACAAATCTAATCTTTTAATATGTCTTGTTTATGGTTTCACATAGTCTTTGGGTTGATACTACCTTGTTTGTTAAAAAGCAATGATTCATGTTTCTTGCTTATGTTGTTATCACCAGAACTATATTGATTTGAAATCTCTTATTGGTTGTTTTACGTAGGTAGTTCAACATCAAGGATCTATGTTCCTTACGCTTTTATTTTCTTGGACTACCTAGTGTCAAGTTCTTTCAAGGTTTTGTTTTAGAGTAGCTATAGACACTAATTCTACTAGAAGATGTTGTTCTACGGAGCCAGGAGAAACTATGTTAATTCTCGAACCTCCAAAGCCAATGTTCCTGGAAACAAGATGGTGGAACGTACTTTCCTTTACTATTGGACCAAAGCGACTTGGTTAATATGTTCATCTCAGCAATGGCATAAAGAGACAATTATTTGATTTAACAACATCATAGATAGTATACATCCAATTTTCTTAGTCTAAAGACTGTTAATTCATTGGAGATAGCTTTCGAAACATCACAAAGCTAATTTATGTACGGAGTGTATAATAAGGGAAGTATATGGTTCATCCCACCTACGACTGTATACATCACAACTTTATAATCTTGTTGACTCTCTTAATTAGCTCCTTGTTCATATATCTTGTGAGTTTGTTATTTATCTATTGAGTCATTAATGAGATGTGTAAACTATAACTTTAGAAACAAAAAATATAAAGAATGATTTGAGGCTGAAACTGATCAACACATCAACTTATGAAAGAGGAAGAAAAAATGATATTGGAGTTTGATTCCTTATTACAACATACACAATAGATAGTGAGTGCGGGTGAGTCAGCACTTGCATTTTCCATGTCACCATCTTATTGCGCCACTTGGTTTAAATTGTAAGTACAAAACCATCAAATCATGTAACCAAAGCTATATAGAGTCAATGACATTTAGCTGTTACCAAATCATATCTTTTGCTTTTTTTACAAACTATACTCTTTAAGGTTGAAATTAAACCCTCTCTAATCCTCGTTACCGCATGCAAAACTAGATAAACACTAGTATAAAGATGTTTTGATTAATGAGTTAGGAAAAAATATATAAAAGATATAAACAAAAGTGGTTTAATAGGAAGTAGGATAGAAACTTCATGATATATATATAAGGACATGCATGCACTATATACTTATTTCTTTATAGGACAACTTGTGGTTCTGTTTCCCATTACCACATACCAAATCGATTTGATAAGAAGTTGGGTAAGTATATAATTTTAGAATGTGGCAAAGAGACAACTCATCTACTTTATCACATGTCGTAATCCAAATGGAGATTATAAGAATTTTAGTGGTCGTCATTCGTAGAATGAACTCCTATAGCAATATAATTTGATATAATAAAGAGAGTTTATGAGGCTTGTTTTCACACTAAGCTATAGTCTATAATTAAGATTTTCTTAAGGGATCATCATATGGATGAATTAGTTCTAAAACTTAATAATTTGACGAGTTGAAAATAGTGAAATCACTTTTTTTCTTCATTTGGGTATGGATTAGAGAAGTAGAGGCTACAAGTTGAGCTAACTTAGTGAGGTTAACACCAACTTGAAATTAGATGCTTACCATGGTCCTTGATTGTACAACCTCTCTATATATATGCTATGAATACAAAATGACACTATACTTTCACGAACATCATTTACATAGTTAAGTTATATATATAATATGACTCACAAAATGCCAAAGTGAGTTGAAAACATAATGTAGGATTATGACTCTATATATATATAGTGAAGATCAGGTTTTAGGGTTTTGTCTATATATGATGCAAGAGTTAAAATATAAGAGAGATGTAAAAACAAAACAAGGAAAAAAGAGCTTAACTGGCTAATTAAGCCCAGGAACGAAGAATCACCCAGAACCTTCAGCCTTAGAATATGCCAAATTTGGTGAGAAAAAATATATTTAGGAGGATTAAGCTCACTATACATGATCAGTGATCAGTGATCAAGTAATATGTGCATCAGCCCATGTCGGCATGTGGATTCTACATTACTAATTCCCAATTGTGTCAGAGTACCTGATCAAGTATTGTTTTATGATATTATATATTACATACAACTAGAAATAAATCTCTAAAAATTCTATATTTACGTAACAGATTAAAAGCTGGCACTACAAGAAAGCAAGTCCATCTTCAAGGGAAAAAAATCTTAAGAAAAGTTTTAGCGGTTTTCCGAAAGATTTTCAAGAATTTTCCTAGGGAGTTCTAACGAGAAAAAGTTTCTCATAAACTCTTCGAAAAATTGTAATCCGTTGGAAATTTCTTCAAAATTTTCAAAGAAAAATGTCTGTCAACGGTTTGTTGAAAGCAAATGACCAGTGTTTTATATCAAGAAATATTTTAGGGGTCATCGAGAATTTTCGGCGTATATAGCCGGTTCGAATTGATTCGTTGGATTTGCCCGTTGCAATTTAATACATATATATATATATATATATATACACATAAATACTTTTAATGAAATAATGCATGGTATTCAGTGACCGTAAAGTCGGATATTGCCAAAATTTTGATATTACATTAAGAAATAACGAGCATTATTTTTATGTAGCTGGTTTTATGTTGTGTTTTATTATTTTTATTTTAAATTTTCCCAATAATAGCAAAGTATGAATATTGATCCCTTTGTTTAATTTTATTTCAATCTATACATAAGAATTTGAGAACTTATTTTTTCATGAATTAATAGTAGTGTGCATTTATTTTAACAACATTTACTATTATGAAAATTATCTTTTGTGTTAATCATGGAGATGGAAATGAAATGAGATTGATACTAGAAAAATAGAAACCCATATTTATTCATTTAAAGAACTAGCTATCCTAACAACAACAAAAAAGTAATATGTTTTTGATTAAAATATAATATAAAAGCCAATATTTTATATATTAATACCCAAAAATTAATTAAAGAAAACACGTGATATATATAGGTTTCTTTTGATACATGATATTTTTCTTTTGATAAGTGGTCTACAAAAGCCAAGATATACATAATTTAATATCATTTTAATTTATAAGGTGTTCATCAGATTCTCTCGTTACATTCTCCTTATAAATATACTTCATCATGATAACATGTGATAAAGCCTAAACACACAAACATCTCTCATATATACTCTCCCTCTCCCTATCTCTCTCTCTCTAACAACTGATAATCAAAAAGGTTTGTTGAGACAAATCGACAGATATGGAAAAAGTGAGAGAGATTGTGAGAGAAGGGAGAAGAGTGGCAAAAGAAGACCCGAGGAGAGTTGTTCACTCGTTTAAAGTTGGTCTGGTTCTTGCCTTAGTCTCTTCTTTCTATTATTACCAACCTCTCTACGACAGCTTCGGTGTTAATGCAATGTGGGCTGTTATGACGGTTGTTGTTGTCTTCGAGTTCTCTGTTGGTCCGTCTTCGTATTCTTTTACTTTAAGCTTCTTGTTATTTATAATTAAACCCTTCATGATCGTTGCATGCATGCCATGCAACACGTAAATATTACAAGAACCAAAGTTTGGATAACAACATGCATCATGATCACTTGTTATAGTTAAAGACTTCATGATTATCTTGTGTATAACAAACTTAGTTGGTGTGTCATGTGTGTACATCTATATGCAGGGGCCACGCTTGGTAAAGGACTTAACAGAGTGGCGGCAACACTATTCGCCGGAGGGCTTGGTATCGGAGCTCATCACTTGGCTAGCATGTCCGGTGCAACAGGAGAACCCATTCTTCTCGCAATCTTTGTCTTTGTACAAGGTATATTAATATATACCAACTAAGTCTTATATGTATAACCATAAGGACGACTAAGTCTTATATATATGTATATGTTTTTGTAAATATATAGTTAAGCGGTTAAAAAAACGAAAGATATGTAACATTTTACTTTTCAAATGAAACTATAACTTTAGTATCTTGTATAGTTGTATATAAACACAAGAACTGAGTCTTGAAGTATATATTTTATATGTAACGTACCAGAAAATGTAAAAGTTATAACTCTAATTAGAGTTTGATCAGTACTCGGACTAATGTTTTTTTTTTTTTTTCTTTGGTTGGGTGTTATATATAGCTGCGTTGTCAACGTTTGTGAGGTTCTTCCCACGGGTGAAGGCGAGATACGATTACAGTCTATTGATATTCATACTCACCTTTGCGTTGATATCAGTGTCGGGGTTTAGAGAAGAACAGGTTCTAATGCTGACCCATAAGAGAATCTCAACAGTGATCATCGGAGGACTTAGTTGTGTCCTGATCTCCATCTTTGTCTGTCCTGTTTGGGCTGGCCAAGATCTTCATTCACTCCTAGCCTCTAACTTAGAGAAACTTTCCTTTTTCTTGTTAGGTATTTATATCTCCCTTTCATCATGTTTTATTATTTCTGATTTGAAGTGTATAACTTTTTTTTTAAGGTTGGTTTGCTTGGTAGGTGTTTTGCCACTTGGTCATGCTTCTTTCTCGTTGGAAAAGTTTTCAAGTTTTATCATACTTGCTTCTATTTTGTGTGGTGATTGTGTGACTGATAAGGATATTTTTGATAATGATCTTTAACAAATATAAACATGTTAGAGATTTATGTTTCCTTGGTAACTCTTTATTTGTAAAGATGTTAAAAAATAATTTCATGGAATGACATTTGATATACTTATGAAAAGAAATATATATATATATAGCGGTTGACATTTTCATTTTTTTGAATATTGTAAATTTTTTTTCTGTCAAGTGTCAACCACACTTAAATTTATAAACAATTTCCATGATTGAATGCAAATTTTTAAGAAATAGTTTACAAAGTTGACATAAAAATATTTATTTTCTAGGTATTTTAAAATTTTGGTATAATGAAATTTTCAATCAGCTATGTTACTTTTTAAGAAATAGTTTACAAAGTTGAAATCAAAATATATTTTTTCCTATGTATTTTAATATTTATTTAAATTCCAAATATATATGACATTGTATTTCAACTATGATATGAAATTTAATATTTATTCTCTTACTATCAAGAAAAATAAAAATTAGAGTTTGGCAGGTTTTGGGGACAAGTATTGTGAAGCTGTAGGAAATGATGACACCAAAGAGGTTGACAAACGAAAAAATGATTTTGACAACTATAAAAGTGTTCTCAACTCAAAAAGCAATGAAGAATCTTTGGTTAGTGGTGAATGGTGAACCCTGAAAATTTTCACTTCTTGCTTTATTCTCACCACTACATCTCATTCCACCATGTATTTTTTTGTCGTTTTCTTGTATAGGCTAATTTTGCAAAATGGGAACCTGGTCACGGCCAATTCAGATTCCGACACCCTTGGAAACAATATCTAGCTCTTGGTGAACTAATCCGACAATGTGCTTACCGTATCCATGCTCTCAATTCATATCTTAATGATGATACTAAGGTATTAACTCACTAAATCGTCGTAAAATCGAAATTAAAATCATGTTCTTGATGCATATATAATGTGTCATATGCAACTTAATTTGTCTAAATTAATAATTCTTATCTATCTATCTTGAAACCTTATTGAATCATCCTTTTGTTATAACTTATTAGGTATCAATTGATATAAAAAAGAAACTACGAGAACCATTGAGAAGAATGAGTTTGGAATCTGGCAAAGCGATGAAAGAAATGTCAATGTCGTTAAAGAACATGACCAAACCATCTTCTTGTGAACTCCATGTTCAAAACGCACGATCTGCATGCAAATCTCTTACCAACTTGCTTAATTCAGGCATCTTGAAAGAAGTTGAGCCACTAGAACTGATCTCACTTCTGACCGCGATCTCTTTACTCATCGATATCATTAATCTGACTGAGAAAATCTTGGAATCCTTACATGAACTAGCATCCGCTGCAAAGTTTAAGAACAAGATTGAACGACCTAATTTGTTACCCGAGAAAACAAGTGCCAAAAGTATTGTTAGTGTCCGGCCGATCAAATGTCATGATGATGATCATGTGATCACAATTATTGAAGATGATGGTAATGATGATGACACATCAAAAAATGATAGTCGCAAGATGAAAGAGGTTTCGAACCATGGGGAAACATGAAGACGTTGGTGATACACATGTACACCCAAGATGTGTTTCATGTGGTCACACATGTCTTTGTGATGTTGTAGAATGTAGATAATGGTATAATTAAACCTACAAGAATTCATAATGATTGATTATTATTTTTATTGATTTTAATATATGTTGTGAAATTATCACTTATCGAAGTCTTACTATATTATGATTTGAGAAAGTACATTTTAGAACCTAATTTTAATGTTATATGAAATTTCCTAGAAATGCCTTTTAAGTATTACATGTTATTAAAAATATAATCCCATTAACAATCTACTTTAGTAAATAGATTTGAAAGTGAAAACTAGAATAACTAAATTTTTGAGTAAAATATGTTATTTAAAATTCATATATAGTTTTTTCAATATCAATTTATTGATTTGTAAGTCCATATACGATTTGAAAATTTTCATTGATTATGAGAATCAATACACATGGATTCCAAAATAAACATGTTTGTTCTTTGGATTTGAATCCTTCTATTTTTAATTTTCAAATCCATTTAAAACATATTGTGGATTTTGAAATCCAAAAATAAATCGCTAAACAAATAACATAGGATTTTAACTAGTATTTATAAATCATAGAATTAATGACACCTGATTTTGATATTTATTTATTAATTGAATAACACATGATTTTTGTATGGATTTCCAAATCAATTAAATTCTATGAACCAATAAACCAAAAAATTTCAAATCCTATATAGATTTACAAATCAATGATTGAATAAACCCTCTATATATAGTGTATTTCAAGAATTACATGAAGCTAATATTAGAATATGTCTTCTTTGTATTTGTATTATAATTTATTCCATTATTCATTTAGATTATTTCAGTGTTTTGAATAATTTGAAAATAGTATTAATGAAAGCGTTTAAAATAATTAATTTAGCGATAATGGTGATCCGCAAAGTTAATACACAAAATGATTTGAACCCCAGTTAAGAAATTAATCCGAATAATGAAAACATAAAATTTTTAACAAGTTCTTATGGTACTTATGTCCGAATTTGCTACGGCGAGGTTCCGAGAAACTTAGGTATACTTAATGAAAATAATCTTGTAAAAATGATTACATAGTACGATTTTTTCTCAAATAATCAAGAAATCTACTTCAATAGGAGGACAAACAAAGTAAGATATCTATTGTATTTTTATCAAATCTTTACAAAGCTTCTCTTCATGAAATTGATTATTCAAGATGTTTAATCAATTAATTAAATACCGTTCCAATCACATCAAAATTAGACATTAGAAACGTTACAAAATGAATTGAAGATAATTCCAAATCCAACACCATTGTTTGAGGGACTCACGGAGGACAAAGACAGAAGATCTGGTAGCAAAAGCGTAAAACGTGTGTCACCAACAACTCTCCTAAAGCTCGTTAGAAATATTAACAACTCCCGTAAAGCTCGTTAGATATGTGTGACCAAGGCTTCATCAGAGAATCAAGAGATCATGGCTTGTAGAAAAGAAATTCTTGGGTAGATTGTGAAACATAGTATCAAGAATTATATAAGTGTAAAGAAGAGATGATATATCATTTGTAAGCGTGGTTGAATTATGAACAAGTATATTAGTGTCGACGTGAATTTTTAATGTATTGTGATAGTTGTAGACTCCTTTATGTTTATATTTGCCATGCACATTGCACTACCAAACAGTGTTCTAGTGGACATAAAAGCCTTTGTACTGTTATGGAAAAATTCTTTCAAACCGAATCAGTCTAAAACCTCAATTTACATTTGGCAGATTTGTTTTCTCAAACTCGGTTTTAATTGAATAACACATAATTTTTAATGACTTAGTAAAACTCTGAATCTAATAACGTCATATTTATGAAGATTTTGAATGAATTTTTACAAATCAATAACTAATAACACCAAACTTCGAAAGAGTTTAGTAAAATCTTGATTGAATAACATCTAAAGTCATTAAAACACCATATAACTCACAAACCAATAACACCTAACTAGTTTTCTAACCAAACCTGATCCAATTCCGACAAAATTTTATAAAACTGAAACACCAAATTTCCAAAAGCTTAGACCAAAACCAAATCACATGAGATATTGGCTAATGGCTAATGTAAATTTGACTGACACTGTTAATGAATATAGAATAACAACAATTTGTTTTCAATTTTTTTTAACAACAATTTGTTTTCAATTTTTTTTTTTCGATGAATAACAATAAATTTGTTTCTGATTTTCAGCAACTCATAAGCAAAACAATTTTATATATTTAAATGATAGCAACAAAAAATAAGGTGAAATAACTTAAATTTAATCAAATATTATGAAAATAACAAAATAATTGAAACTTTTATTTAAATGAAAATGAGATGATGGGTTAGTATATGAAATTATTAACATTTGTTTTTCATTGACGGTATTAAATGATAGTTTGGTTGGTAATGTTGATTTTTTTTCCATGATTTTCTTGAACTACTGAAAACATGAAATGATTATGAAAAAGCTTGAAGAAGTTATTGAAATTTGATAGTAAAACATTTAAAATTAACATGTCAAAAAAAGTTTCCACTAGCATAACATTTTTTATTTTTTATTATTATTAATAATATATAGCATATCTATGAACTGTTTTCGTAAAATTTTAAATGTCTCATACAAGTATCTTATTAAAATCATTAAAAATACCTCAGACCAAAATTTTACAAAATTATTCAAAATTATTCTTAGCTACGCAAATTACCAGGTCGTGAATATGACGTTTAATCTCTCGACGAATGGTTTTATATATTCAAATCACCAATACATTATCTTCATATTATCCAACATATCATGCATATATATTTGATAAATAAAAAAAAGTTCATGAATTGAGTTGAATTTATTTTTATATCACCATTCACACCATTGATGACGGAATTTTTTCTTCAAATTCTGTAAAAACCAATATGGTAATTTAAAGTTTAATATTACCTTGGTATGTACGTTTAATAATTTTAAATTCTAGAAGTAATAATTAAAATGAGATATTTTATGAAATGGTCTTGTTTCTATTTTCTTATAGCATTTTATAGCAATTTCTTTTCTTTGAAATAACTGGTTTTCAATTATCTAAGTATTATGTGAAGATATATGTTATAAAATTCTAATTCATACGATTCAAAAGAAAGTTAGATAATTTTTTAAAACAAGAAGTCTTGGGATAACATAGGAGGAAATATCCAAATTGTAAGAACATAAACTTGTTATGACAACAATTATATACTTCTTTTTACATCGATTTAGTAAGAATCAATTAGATTTGGCAAGAACAAAAAAAAAAAAAAAGAACTTAAAATTATATAAAAATGAATGGATAAAGCCGTAAGCGTTATTTGAGGTGGGAAAGGTAGTGACGTACGTGAGCGAAATCGCCAGTGTCACATCTCAAAGTGTCAGAGACTCTTTTAAAAAAACAAAATATCGTATCATATAGATTTGGTATCATTAAGGATAATAATTACCTCTCTAGGTTTGTTATTACGCCATCACCAAATATATATATTTTCATATCATTATTATTACATAACAACAACCTTTTCAAGTATGTGTGTCGTCTTCTTGATGCTCTTCCTCCACCAGTTGCATCCTCCGGTAGAAGTTGTGAGTACACCAAATGGTCATCTTTTTGACACTGACACTGCCTGTCACTAGCTTAGCTATATAGCCCCAAAGCCACGATTTGTTAGTTTAGCATCTCTTACCACCACATCATCAAATCATCATCATCATTGTATGGTTAATTATGACTATCACTTCTATTAATTATTTGCATTGACAATTGCAAAAAGTACTCATAAATTCTCCCAACGGTACATTGCCTTGTAGAGATATATACTTGTCTTTTCATACGTTAAAACCATAATTTCTTATATGGAGTAAAATAGAAACGTTATATGATCATATGAGAGATAAGGTGAGCAACAAAAAGTAGTGCATATCTTACATTCAGTTTAATGAAACAAAGCTTAAGCAAACGAAGCTGAATACATCACAAACACAAGAAAAAGTTTCCTCAGATGATAAAACCGATAAAACATCAGAAGAGTTAATAATATACAATACTAAGAAATAAGTAGAAGCAACAAGCTAGGTGAGATCAAGGGAGAAGAGAGTGGTTTCTTGGCTGTCTTGGTGGGTTCACATGATGGTGCAAAGGGTCAGGTCCTGAAGGAACGGTCCTTAGCTCTTCATTTAGCCCTAAACCTTTGATCTTCTTCTCTTCTTTCTCTTCATTTGCTCCTACAGTTTCACTACCCTTGTTCATCATCATCATCTGCCAAAGTAAAGACCATTTCAATATATTTCATACTGACACTTGCACACCATAGTACTTAGATATGTATATGCGTGTAGAACATGGAAACTAAAGCGATGAAACAGTGGTTGGACTTGGACTACATATATGTATGAACATGATATACTTAGAGGTACTAGTACAAGTTGAAGCTAACCTTGCGGGTGGGAAGTGAAGTAACGTGGCCATGAGCTTGCGTGAGATCTAGTAAGATAATAAAACCAAAACCAAGTTAAAATGATAGTTCTAGCTAAGAACGAGTGATAGAGATTTTAGAAGAGTGAAAGAGAGAGTGAGAGACCAGAAGCATCGTGGAGGAACAAGAGGCAGAAGAGTAGTAGTAGCACAAGACTTCTTGATGAATCCATTACTTAGAGAGAAACTGAACAAGAGAGATAGAGAGAAAGATATAAACTGTTTTGTTTTCTTTTTTTTTCTTTACTGCGGTGGTGAAGAAATGAGAAGGGGACAGTCCAATTTATAGCGTAAGCCTACATGGAGGAGGAATGGGATCTATTTCATAAATCATTTTATTTGTTAGAAAAGGTATATTTTGTTGGTTACTTTTGTATATTATATGATTTATATGTTCTAGTATATATATAGTATATATAACTAGATTTCAAAGTATATATAACTAGATTTCAAAGTTCTGGTCCACTTCTAATTATTTCCTAAGCCTTCACAAGATTTGGAGATTTTAGCGACCCAACTTATAAATCTCGAATATGTATGTATATGTGGTTTAATGTGGACTTATGTTAATAGATATGATAAATATCGTAAGCAGATGACAAGTAGGTTAGTTTGCATTATAATAAACCTTGTGAAAAAATTAACATGTTTAATTTCATGAACAGCACATTATTGCACATTACACATATAGTTATTAATATATCAATGGTGTTTCTCTATTATTACCAATATTTAAACCCATGTTTTAAGTGTGTAGTTTCATTTTTTCCTCCACTTTTTTATAAACAATAACTATATTAAATATTTATAACCCTTTTCTTTTTCTTAGAGCTGAAAAAATTTGGATTTTCAAAAGGGGAATTTTTCTATCTAAACACCAATAAAATGAATCTTTTTCAAAAATATCATTATGAAGTTTATTTTCCATAAATTCCATTAAAATATGATTTTATCAAAAATACCACAAAAAAGATTTAATTTTTTGACATTCAAAACTCATTTCTAAATTCTAAATACTAAATCATACCCCTAAAAACTATAACCTAAATATAAATAATCAACCCAAACATAATAAAAGAAAACTATACGTCATCAAAATTAATTTTTTTATGTTTATGATATTTTTGAAAAAATCAAAATTTGTGTTAGTTTTAGAAAAAATAAAAAATTGTGATATATTTGAAAGAAAAAATTAAATTATTATATTAAAAAGTATTTCACTTTCTAAATATCCAAACAAATAAAAATTACATTACATGTACTATTAACTTGAAAAAATATGGGCATTACCTTAAATTTAATTAGAGTATCAAATCCATCACCAAATCTTTATTTTTATTTTTTTGACATCGACCAAATCTATTATTACAGGCAAAACAAACATTTAAATTAAAAGGGATTAGCCTTTGACGGCGCCGTATCGAGGGTACCATCGGCTGATGTCACTTGAGGCAGAGAGAATGATACCTGGAGTACTACTGACACGTGTCAGTCTGATGTTATCAGATCTCAGCCGTCCGATGATACCAAATAAAATAACTTCAGATCTCCTTTTAATAATTTGTTTTTCAGATTCCGTTTTGCTTCGTCGGTTGCTTACTCTTTTGGGCCGATTACTTCTTAAACTAATTTACTGTTTTTTTTAGATTAACTAATTTACTGATTTACCACCATTTATAATTTCATGGAAATATTTTTTCTTACGTAATAATAATTATATTTTTTTCATACAATAAAATGAATTACGTTCGAAAAGATGTTACAAGTCAAATAAATTAGATCGTCTATGGTTTAATTTGTTCTATTTTCTGAGTGGACAATAATTTGCTGTAAATCGAATTTACTTTTACGTAAAAAGGATTCATAAATCATAACCAATCCACGGTAAAAAATTTTTTTTTTTTGTTTTCTTTAATTCACACTAATATAAGATATAGATAAAAAAGCGTTCGATACACAAACTAATTTATTCACTTTAACCATTACAATTATTCAAATTTTACATGTTAAACATATAGATAGAAATTATTGAATTTAACACTCTTTAACCTAGCTGTGATCAATCTCATCCATCACCAATTTTAAACAAATTTTGAATTTGGTAGCTCTTATTGTTTACTCTGTCACTTGGGGATGGTTGGTTGTGTGACTAAGAAACAATAAGGGATGGTCATCGGTGAACGAGGAAGATGATGCTCGGTAATGTGAGCTTTGGAGTTATGAAAGCTGGATCGTGGGCATTAAGACGCGGATGAATGATTGTCGATCCGAGACTCCAAATCTATAAGGAACACATTGAGGTAAATGTGTTCTTAGTAATGATTGTATGGAGTTATGTTTGTTATAAATGTGTTTGAAATGGTTTAAGCATGTTTTTAAGTATGTTTTTGGTAAGTTGATTTCTCGCCGGAAGTCTCGTCGAAATGTTTTCTCCGATGAATTTTTAGATTTCGGGTTAGGGTCTTTCATACATCAAATGTTTAGTTAATACTGAATCTAAATAATGAGTGTTTACGTTATATCCATCTGACCACTCCTAATGGATACAAATTTAGCATTTTATAAATCCAATTTATTCCATCTATACTATGCTTTTGTATTTAATTGTTTACATCAAAGCTAACACCATAAAGTATTGTAAAACTTGCTGTTAAGTAATAAAAATATTTAAGTATGTCGCTGTCTATATATGTGGTCGAATCGTTACCGATACAGTGATGTCAAAGAAAGATGAAACAGCCTGGAAGATGCAATGAAGGGGTAAGAGAGATTAGAAAACTAGAAAAGACGAGTGTAACGTTAAGCGACAAGAGACTGATTGAAGAAGCCACAAAGGTCAATTCTGATTTTTATTTTTAATCTTTTTTACGTTCATTGGTTAATTTATTTGGCTAATACCCAACCCTACTTGAGTTAAGAGCTAACATAAAAAAAAAATGTTAAAAGTATATATATATATATAAAGTGCGTAAGATTCTGCAAGCATATAATATAATTATTTAATTTTGGTAATCCAGTGAATACAAAATTGCAATGTAAAACCTTTTGGGATAACAGTTTTTATTAGATTCTTCCCTCATGGTTTCAACTATCAAGTATCCTTTATTTCGACAAGAGGGCTAAATTTATTTGAGTATTTTTTAAATTTTAGTTTAGCTTGAGATATTTGTATTAAAAAAAGAAATATCCAAAATATTAAAAGTATTCCAAAAAAACTAAAATATTAGTTGTTATTTATAGTACAAATGTAATCGAATTAATGTATCCAAAAATATTAAATTACTCAAAATAATAATATATTTGAGAAATTTGTTTACTATAATTAATCAGGCTCTTAACCATAGTATTTGGCTTTAGTCTATTCTGTTAAGAACGACTTGTTCTTCACTGCATTCGTAGTTTTCCATAGTTTCATAGTTGAGAACCAAGATCGAAAACGTTTAATATATCATCTTAATACTTAATTTGCTAAACTCTAACCTCTTAGACCAACATTATTGGTGGGATTTTAGAGGTAATGTTGGTCTCACCGTGTGCGAATGTATCATCTTACCTCTAAAATCCCACCAATAATGTTGGTCTTAACATCCGCGGTTGGCTTATATTTAATACGAGCGTGCGAATGTACGGCTAACAAGTCGTTAGAAAAATCTCCATGGTGTCGAGTCTTGTCATGGAGCTAGCTAGTGTAGTGATCAACTTCGATGTATTTTTGATCTTTATCTCTCTCAGTCCGTAATAAAAATACATTAGCATAGAAAATAAAGTTTCTTAAATTTTGTAGACGAGAGTAAAGGACGATGAAGAGATTGTGCATACCATATCAAAAAGTAAGTAAAAATAAAGAGAGAATGGTTTCCAAAGTCTTTTCCAATATTAAAAATAGAGTAGTTTCCTCAGAACTCCACCATATATATGTTTTTTATGAATCAAGATTTCAAAACTGAAAGTGATGAGAGCAAGTAGACATCGTTCGTATGGTATCTGCATAGCTTAAATCTTTCAAATTGAGCAAAACCGGACATGTTACTTGCAGACCAAACTTTAATGGCGAGAAGATCCCTCTCTTCCATTGTATCTTCATATCCGCGATAACATCACCGTTGGCCTCACCGTGTCTCACAAGAAAAGCCCCGGTAGGGTTTCCGGTGTCGTTATTTTTCGCTACAACAGCTTCCCAAGTCTTAGTGCTGCGTGGCTTCTGCTGAAACGTGCCTCCCAAGAAAACTCTCTCTGTCTCAAACCCTCCTAGGACTCGTATGTGTAGATTCATATTAATGTAGTTAACACTGGTATTGTGGCTTGGGTTGGTCGATGACAGTTTCACCTAGAGAAACCAATAATCATATTTTTAGGGTTAGAATGGTTTCTTTAACTTATTCAACAAGTAAAAAGGGAAAATTTGAGAATACTTACAATTACACTAGAGTTTTTGGAGTGGGAATCAACGTAGAGATCTTCGAGCACGAACCGTGGAACTCGAGGTTGGATAACTACATAGCTGATGATAGGTACAAAGAGACAGATTATGAGAAAAACTAAAACGGGGACGAAGGAGATTATACATCTTCTTCTTTTGTCTGAAGAAGCAACCCATATCCTTTTGTATTTTGGTGCTGCGCCTTCTTCTTTTGCTTCTTCCTTCTTCTTCATCGTTGTTTCTTTTCTTTAAGCTCTGGTGAATCCTCTTTGTGTGGTTTTTGGGGTAAACTATATGAAACGTAGAGTTATATAGAAAAACTTAAAGAGGGTGGAGAGAGTTATATGGTTTTGGAAATGTTCTATAAACAAGAATTGTAAAGAGACAAAAATATCGAAATTGGGAAACTGGAATTGTTAAGAAGTAGAATAAATAGAAATATCCTAGCTTTAGTTTCTGGTTATGTAATATAGAAACATTCTTTATATTTCCGGCGGTTTTGATACATGTGTATGGATCATACATCGCATTCATAGTTTTACAACTTCAATACTATATAACGTTTTAATTTGCTAAGGTTCTGCAATGTTGCACAACGATTCTTCTATCTTTTCCTTCTTATGAGCAATTTTGATTACGAAAATGTAAGACATAAAGATCGAATACATCAAAGTTGTTCCACAAAAATAAGAGACATTTAAGTCACAAATAAAACTATTTTATACAACTTCAGTTTCATATACAGTATAACATTTTGGTGAAACTGTGATTCATCTGTAGTTTAATAAGTAATCATTGTTTAACTGAATTCTACAATGCTGCACTACGATTCTTCTATCTTTGCCTTCTTACGAGCCAAAAACCGTTCTTTACAGCCGCTATCGAATCCTCAGTACTGGCTTTTGGGACTTGTTTTTACTGCCTTCTGATAGTTGAGTCGCTTTCTGAATCCATCTTCTTCACATATGTTGTTTGCCCTGCTTTTGGTTCCACACTTTTCTTACCACTTGATCCAATGTCTCCAGATTCAGGCAACACTTCGTTTTCAGGTGATTTTCTCTTTTTCTCGTTCCTTTTCCCTTCTTTTCTCGGCTCCTCGAGCGTCTCTGCCTCTTTTCGCGCTCCAAATTCCACATTTTTTCCAATGTTGAAGTAGAAATGGAAAAACAAAGTTAAAGAGCTGATAGGAGTTCAAAAAGCTAATCTCCTAATCACTACTAAAACAAGAAATTTACTTCTATACAGAAGCAAGGTTGTAACAATATAAGTTTGTGATCTAACGATTAAGCGAACTTAGCTTGACACAATTCCTAAACCTGAGCTACTTAAGAGTTAAAGACAGAAACGAAAAGGACATATATAAACTAGGATCCTAGCAATTATTTCCTGCATAGAAGCCGGGCTGTACGCAATCAGAGCTGGGAGAAAGGCAGTGAGACGACTTCCTGAACGCAGTGAACAAAGTGGTTAGAGGTTATCAAAAGTTCAGAGCAACTCCCAAGTATATGCCTTACTACATTTAGAGAGAGAGAGAGAGAGAGCAAAGTCAAAACTCAGAAACCTTTCAACTCTCTTTTGCAGAACATTTTTTAACTTTTTCAAAAGAAATTGGAAACATATTGTAGTTAAACATAATACAAATAGAGAAACAGATGAGTACATATGCGACACTATTAAAATGGTCATCTTTAGTTTAGCTACAAGGCCTTAGATTTTTACACCGTTTTCGTTGGAGGAGTTTTGGAACAAGGATAAGAATAAGAAGAAGCATCATCGTGTTCATATTAATAGATTCAGCTGTTACTTTGCTAAACCAGAACCAGTGTTAAGTCCATAAAGAGCATTTTATTGTAATGATAAATTAAATTTAACTACAATACTAAATACAACTTTGCTGTGGTTAAATGTTATTTAGAGAAATCTTTTTAAATGATGGAACTTCCAATAACGATCCTTGGCTTTGCCTAGGTATATTTTTTCAGAGTGGAGGCAAATCCTATCGAAGATCTTAGTAGATGTATTGTTTGTCGCAGTCCCATCAGTTAAAAGATGAATGTGTCCACCAATTCGGCTGTGGAATAATCCGTGCAATTCCTTGCCATGAAAAGCTGCAGACATAATTTACAAGTGGTAGCTGTTAAGTTGATCATTCTAAAGGAGACAAGAAAATTATCAATATCCTCAAATGGCACAACAAATGTGCACCGCAAGTGGGTTTCCAAGATACGCTGTAACTGGCTGTACCTTTCTCTTTGTTTGACAAGTTGGCTCTGATAACTGCATAGTGAACAACGAAAGATAACACGGTTTAGAATACACATATATAAGCTGATCACACTCACAAAATGTACCGTATTGCTATTTGCCTCTTTCCTTTCACCAAATGTGTGATTTGTCCTTTTATTGAAAAACTAGCTTACTAAAAACTAATACATAATGGCCACAGAACATAGCAAGCTTCAGTGGCAGACTCAAACGATGTTATCAAGGACAACACCTAATCATTTTCCAAGGGGAAACCCTTAACTTCTTCAACTTTTCCCTAATAAAAAGTTTACCTTGCTAGCTTCAGTGGCAGACTCGACTTGAAACAGCGTCCCTTGCGGAGAAAATGTGTTGGCTCCTCTAGCATACTCGGTCCTTTGAACAAAAGAGTGGAATATAGAAGACACTAATCAACTGAAAGAATAAACTAAAAAAGCTTTAAAACAAGAGTTGAACACTTACATAAGTTTCAAATTCTCAGCATAGTCGAGAGAGGTGTAAACTCTCGTACGCTTAGAAATCCCAAAACCTTGTATGTCAACTCCACTGAGGCTCTTGAACTCAAGGTTGAAGTAATAAACGTAAAATCCGTCTACCAGACAAGCCGGTGCCAAGACAACTTCACCTCCACCAGTCATACCAACGATAACTAACTGTGTTTTCTTTTCTATGTTTTTCTGCAAAGGAGGCAATGTGTAGATACCTCTGGACCATACATGTTTCTCAGCATCTTGTAAAACCAATAACTCAAAACGCTTCGGAGAGAAAGATGTAAACCGAAGTGCACCTAATTTACCCTTGTAGTTGATCAAAGTACAAGAAGTAGTCATCAAAATGCTTTCATCAATGTTGATAAAGCTAAACTCCTCAGACCTAACATCGAAGCACACTATTACATAAACCCTTGTCCGCATAGCGAACCCAGCTGTATAATACAAAGAACCATCTATACATATTCCATCAGATATAGGATAATGTGGTTTGCATTGTAACGTTCTCCACAAACGTTTTCCATTCTCAGCCAATGTCAAGACTTGATGCTCATCACACCGATACGGGAGGTTATCGGACTTGATGCACAACACTTTCAACTGTTTCTCGATCGGATCGTACCCAAGATAAGGTCTTGTCTGAGTATTATTACTCTTCAAACTTACTTTGGGTAAGGGTATGGACTCTCCAGTGAGTGGGTTACAAACAACCAAGGAATCATGACTTCCCCAATCACGATGACAGATGAATCCACAAAGTGGTGAAGCAAGATAAGCTGTAAGAGTAGTGGGAGTGTTCTTATGGTGAATGTGGTAACGGGAGGGTACAAGAGAGGACGCGTTCTCGTCGTGTGGAGGGTGAGGTGAGGAGAAGAAGAAGAAGTTGTCTTTGTCTTCTAAGGTGAAGAAGAGTAGAGGTGGACGAGTATGAGATGTAGCTAAGTAAAACTCGGAGAAATCAGGATGGTTAAGTATGGATTCCCAGAGTTTTGATACGCAACGAAACCTAGCTATTGACTTTCCAGGAACTCTTGAGAAAATGTTCATTAGGACATCGCTTGGGAGTTCATTCATGGCTTAGACGAAGAAGAAGGAGCCAAATCTTTTGTAGTGATTCGATATATCTAAGAGCAGATTCAAACTACCAACTGTATGAGTAAATCACAGATGATGAAATCACAAATCAAACCCAGGAATCAAAAATTCAAATATAGGAATCAAAATTCTTAGAGCAGAATCGAAAGAGACGAACCTCAAAAGAGCCAATCGAAGGAATCGGAAATCAGAGTGTCTTATCGGAGATGAAGAAATCGGAAATCAGAGTGTCAAAAGATTAAATTTGGAAATTAAACCCTTTGTTATTTAAACTTTGCCTAACTGAATAAATAATGTAGTTTTGTTTGACTATTTTAAATAGGAATATCAAATTTAATTAACCAAACCAATTTACATATATCGTAGAATCATAAACCGAAATAACTAAACTCCATTCGTTATTTATAAACAAGCGTTTTGTCTGTGAATCAAAAAATCGAAAAATTCCCAAATCACACAATTAAGCCCTAATTTCTAAATAACCCAAATAAACACAATTTTCTCTTTGCAATTCGAGGCCCAAGGTGAGAAACAAAGGTGTGATTATGTTTCTCAGTAAAAGAGTTGAATCTCAATTTTACATTTTGAAAAATATATTTGTGTTTTTGGAAAAATATCTTTTTGGAAATTTTACATTTTGAAAAATATTTTTTTTTCTTTTTTGGTCATAGAAAATATCTTTTCTAATTTTTTTTTTATAAATTATTTTATAAATTTTAAATTTTCTTCCACATTTATCATACACTCTCTCATTTTCCAAAACTAGCACACAAACTTTATTTAAATACTAAAACATAAAATTATTATTCGCTGCGGGACAAATTTTTTATTTTTTTATTCTTAGACTCAATTTTTTTTCTATTATGCTGGATTTTTTTTTTAAATCATTAAAAACAGAATAATATCAAACTTAATTAAATCAGTTCAATTGGACATGTCTTATATTGGTGTTATTAAAAAATAGTATGATGAAGTTTTAACCTGTTTTGAATTATAAGATTAATAATTTTTAGTAATATCGATTCAAACCCATCCCATCATACAATCCATGTATAGTTGCTTTTGTGTCAATATAATCCGTGTTCAAAGCTTTCCTCCAACATAATGTTTTTTTAAAAATCAAATAAATATTTTTGTAATAAATGCGCATTAATTTTGGGAATTTTTTTCTCTGTCCTTTTTGAAACTCAAAAAATTAAAAATGCCATTTTTCCCAAAGTATTTTCTGCGATGCCATATTAGGTAGGCAAAATGACAAGAATACCCTCTCAGATGCTTTGTTTTGTTTCAGTGGCTTATATTTGCAAAAAAAAATTGTCAAATGGGATATTCTCTGCAACATTTAATGTAAAGAATGAAGGCTATTATCCAACATATATTAGCTTAATGGATAATTATAAAGTAAAACAACAGATTAAATCCGAGGACAAAATGACCGAAAAAATTTAAGGAATGAAAGAAGCAGGGCTGGTCCTAGATCATCGTAGGCCTAAAGCATTTTTAAAAATGTGGCCTTTATATATATATACTTCTTTTTAGAATCAATATGATCCGAATTTATTTCCCAAAAACATATGTTGAAACTATATTATAACTCAATGTGCTTGTATATGATGAAAGATAATTTTATACGCTAACATTTTATAAATTTTCCAGTGAAATTCGTTGGATACTAAGAAGTGGAGATTTCTTCCAAGTTTTTTTTGTAATACTATAGGTTTTTGAAGATAATAACTAAAACTAAAAGAAACTAAGACAATTAGAAAAAAAACGAACTGGACTGTAATCATTTGATGAAAGAAAGCCACGATATTATATATGGAGGCCACGTAAGTTCAAGTAATAAAAGAATCTGACACTAAACAGATGATAATGAAGTATATATTAATTAATAATATATAGGACTATAGGAGTATTAACCATAATAAAACCTATATAAAAAAAAAAATGTGGCCTTGATAATTTACTGAAATCAATGTGGCCTAAAACTCATGCTTTACTTGCCTTATCATAGGGCCGGCCCTGGAAAGAAGAGTTGAAGAAGGAGAACAACTAGATCTCCGGTTAGGCCCACGAGATAAACAAGATTTTTGATCTCCTCATACGAAAACCATTTTCTCTTTTACTACTTACTTTTTGATATGGTATGCACAATCTGTTCATCGTCCTTTCTCTCGTCTACAAAATTTGTGAACTTTCTCTCATCACTTTCTACATCCAAAATTTTGAACTTTCTTTCATACAAAACACATATATGGGAGTTTTGAGATATGGCCATTTTTTTTAATAACATGATACTTTGAGGAAACTACATTTTTAATATTGGAAAATTCTTGGAATCTTTATTTTTCTTACTTTTTGTTATGATATTTGTACACCGTCTATTTTACAAATTTGTGAATCTAGTGCAATTTTGATTACCAAATGTAAGACATACAAGACCGAATACATCGAAGTTGGTCTATATAACATTTTGGTGAAACTGTAATTCATCTGTAGTTTAATAAGTAATCAGTGTTTAACTGAAATCTACAATGTTGCACTACGATTCTTCTATCTTTGCCTTCTTACGAGCCAAGAACCGTTCTTTAGCAGCCGCTATCGCATCCTCGGTACTGGCTTTTGGCACTTCTTTTGCTGCCTCTTTGATTGTTGAGACTCTCTCTGAATCCATCTTCTTCATAGGTGTTGTTTGCCCTGCTTGTGGTTCAACACTTTTCTTACAACTTGATCCAATGTCTCCAGATTCAGGCAACACTTCGTTTTCAGGTGATTGTCTCTTCTTCTCATTCCTTTTCCCTTCTTTTCTCGGGTCCTCAAACGTCTCTGCCTCTCTAGCTTCATTATCTCGAGCTCCAAATGCCACATTTTTTCCAATGTTGAAGTAGAAATCACTCAAGTCTTTCTTCTTTGTAACCGACAAGAGATGAAAAAAAAATTAAAGAGCTGATATAAGTTATTAAAAAAAGCCATAGTAACAAAATCAGTTAATAATCCACCAAAGCTTCTCTGCATTTCTTTGTTCCTCAAGCATCTCTGCCTCTTTAGCTTCGATATCTCGAGCTCCAAACGCCACATTTTTTCCAATGTTGAAGTAGAAATCACTCAAGTCTTTCTTCTTTATAACCTACAAGAGATGAAAAAACAAAGTTAAAGAGCTGATACGAGTTAAAAAGCAATAGAAGCCAAATGACTTCTACACACCAGCAAGGTTATAAGAAGAAAAGAACATAAACTAGGATCCTAGAAAAGCACTAGTTACGTTTAGGATAGACACAAAATATGACTTACATCATCTTTCTCCTCTCGAATTTCGCGCAATCTTTCTTCGGCTAGCCATTTCTTTTGTTCCTCTAGTTTTCTTTTATATGAACCAGTTACAAACTTTTCTTTATCCGAGTAAAGATGTTCGTCTTTCGCCCTCTCTTTCGCAAGCTTTCTCTCGTAAACTATCTCATGTTCTTTCTTTCTACGTTCTGTCTGTTTCATCAAATGCTGGATATATCTTGGCTGCAATTGAAAAACCAAAAGAGTAAATCAAATGAGATATATATAAAGCAAAAAATACTATAGAGAATGTAACACCATAAGAAACTGTATTAAGAGTAAGAGAGTAGATTACCTTGTGCTCTTCGCGATCTTGGATTCGTGGAAGAAGAGTTTCATGTTTAATGTCATCATAAACTTCATCGTATGAAAAAGCTGAAGCGTCCTCATCCAAAGCTTTCTTATGCTGCTCATCAATCTACATCAAACACATTCAAAACACTTAGAAAATAAACTTGAAGGATACATAATAAAACAGAGTCAGTATAATTAGGACAAACCGTAAACATACCTTTTTAAGAGCCTTGGTCTTTGAAGCTTGTCGAGAAATCTCCTTCTCTACATCGTTGTCTTCATCGTCTTCACCAAATATTGAAGCAGTTCTAAGTGGTGGTCGAGACGATGACTGTTTTTTCTGAGAAGGAACCCTAATTTGCAGTCCGTACTTCTTAAGATTCACACTCTTCTTCTCTGTTTCCTTTAACCTCTCCTTAGCGGCCATAACAGCAGTGATGATCTCTTTCTCAGCTTTGTCTTTCCTTAGAAAATTACTCTCTTTCCCAATAAAGTCGAACGCTTTTTCTAGAAACCCTAATGGGTTTGTAGGATCAAAACTTGTATTAAACGGCACCGTCGTGGGTCTCACTTTCTCCACCTCCTTCTTCAACCTCTCCTTCGCGGCTGTAACAGCGTCGGTGATCTCTTTCTCAGCCGTGTCTTTCCTAAGGAAATTGCTCTGTTTCTCGATAAAGTCAAGGGCTTTATCCAAAAACCCTAATGGGGTTGAAGGATCGAATCTTGCACTAAAAGTTAACGCCGAGGGTCTCATCTCCTCTATGTAAGAGTTAATCAGAATTGTTTCTCTGTTCAAAACAATTTGTCGAGAAGAAACACAGCTTAAAACCCTTTTCAACTTGTGTTGGGACTTTCTTTATAATTAATCTATCAAGTTCCAACTTTTCCTTATTTAGGTTTTTTCCTTATTTACTATTCAATTTAACTTTTTAGGACATTTTGTTTAATTAAAAAAAAAAGGACCTAAGAAGCGTTATCTTGAAAAGTTACATTAATAAAACAGAGGTGGTGGATATCAGCAAGAGAGACGAGTTCACCAAAGAGTAACGTTGGATTGAAATCTTCCAAGTTGCAACAGCACAATTATTCTTCAAGCTTTGCCTTCTTACGGGCTAAGAACCGTTGTTTCGCAGCAGCAACCGCATCCTCTCTTTTCTTGGGGTCGTTACTAGCTTTCTGCACTTCTTTTGGTGCCTCTTCGATTGATGAGTGTCTCTCTTCTGTATCACCTGAACCCATCTTCTTTTCAGAAACTGCTTGCTCTGCTTCTTGTGGTTCAATACTTTTCGTTCGACTTGATCTAATATCTCCAGATTCAGGAGTCTCTTCCTTCTCTGGTGATTTCCTTTTTCTCTCTTTGCTTGTTTCTTCTTTTCTCCGCTCTCCGAGCTTTTCTGCCTCTCTTTGTTCCTCAAGCTTCTCTGCGTTTCTTTGTTCCTCGAGCATCTCTGCCTCTTTAGCTTCGATATCTCGAGCTCCAAATGCCACATTTTTTCCAATGTTGAAGTAGAAATCACTCAAGTCCTTCTTCTTTGTAACCTAACAGAAGATGAAAACCAAGGAAAAGAGTTGACATGAGTTATAGCTATAAATACAAATCAGTTAAAATTTCATCAAAGCTAAATGCCTATATTTTCTCCCCATTGCTAAGATATACAGAGACAAGAAAGTTATTTCTAGACCCACCCATCATGTACTGGCGGTCACGACGTGCAATAAGGTGGTACGAATAAAAGATTGTGATCAAGCATTAGCACGTGCAACCATCAAACCAGAGACCAAAGCAGGGATCGACAAAACTAACTTGACTCAGTTCACAAACCCTGAGACAATTAAGTGATTTCTAAACCCACCCATCATGCACTAAAAGCCACAACCAGTAACAAGATTCTAAGAAGAAAATTTTGCCATAATTTAAACTACCTTGAAACAGTTCCTAACCAAGAGCTACTTAAGGACAAAACTAAGACTCTGGATATCCTGGTGACCACTAGTTTAGTAAGCCAGTGAGATAGAAATACAAACATGATATATAATGAAAGAGGAAGCATAACGTACATCATCTCTTTCCTCTCGAAGTTCACGCAACCTTTCTTCTGCCAGCCATTTCTTCTGTTCCTCGAGTTTCCTTTTATAAGCACCGGTTACAAACTTTTCTTTATCTGAAAAAAGATGTTCATCTTTTTCCCTCTCCTTCGCAAGCTTTCGCTCATAAACTATTTCATGTTCTTTGTTTCTACGTTCTGCCTGTTTCATCAAATTCTGGATATACCTTGGCTGCAATTACAAAACAATGTAAACAAGGCATAAGCAAAACAACTTAAATCACGCTGAAATCTACTAAAAGTGTAACAACTATTGCTAATGAAACACTGTAAGAAACTATTATATGTGAGGGGATCATATATTTCAATTCTACCTAACTAAAACAAAGTATCTAAGCTTTAGACTTTCAGGGTATTGCAGGATGCGTCTCTTCTCAAGATTTTGGTGGTCTCTAAAGGGAGTGGGACAAGCTAGGTTCTTTGTAACTCCATAAGCACATGGTTTCTATACTTCAATCTTGGATGACCACAGATCGTATATTACTCTTAACAACATGCAAACAAAGTTTTGGATTCTCTAAGCTAGGTACAAGCTTCAAGTCTATAGCAAACACATAACATTGCAAATACTGTTCCCCAGAGCCAGAGATAAGCAATTTACCTGACGCTCTTAATCATGCTGAAATCTACTAAAAGTGTAACACCTACTGCTAATGCAACACTATACGAAACTATTAGATGTGAGTGTATCAAAGGTTTCCTCCTCTACCTAAACAAAGTATCTACGCTTTAGCATTTTAGGGTATTACAGGATGTGTTTCTTCTCAAGATTTTGGTGGTTTCTAAAGGGAGTGGGACAAGCATCAGGGTTTCTATATTTCGATCTTAGATTCTTAGATGACCACATGGAAACAAAGATTTGGATTCTCTAAGCTATGTACAAGCTTCAAGCCTATAGCAAAACACATAAACATTGCAATTACCTGACGCTCTTGACGATCTTGTATTCGAGGAAGAACAGCCTTTTGTTTCATGTCATCATAAACTTCATCATATGCAAAAGCAGAAGGATCCTCCTCTAAAGCTTTCTTATGCTGCTCCTCAATCTAAACCAAACACAAAAACACCCAAATCAACTAATGAAGAGAACAAAAAAACAGAACAGAGTCAGAATAATGAATTAGAAAAAGAAAAGCTTTACTTCTTTAAGAGCTTTAGTCTTTGAAGCTTGTCGAGAAATCTCCTTCTCGACATCGTGATCTTCATCTTCACCAAATATCGAAGCAGCGGGTCGTAGTGGTGGTCGAGATGATGATTGCTTTTTCTGGGTAGGAGCTCTGATTTGTAATCCGTACTTCTTCATCTTCGATTTCTCTTCCACGAACCAACCAATGTCTCTGCGAAATCGATTGAGAATTCGGGAAATTAGGGCAAATCCTGCTTTCCGCAGATTCTGGGGAGAAAAACCCTAATTAAAAAGCTTGGTCGATTCGCTGTAGAATCAATTAGAATTAGGGTTACAATTTCAAAAAATTGATCGTGCCATGGAAGAAAGTAAAAGAAATCGAGAAACTAAAGTGACGATGAAGGAAAGGGGGAGGGGGTGGATCAAGCAAAAGCAATAGAGGAGACCATAACGTTACGGCCCAATACTATAATGGGCCGATAAACTGTTATGAGGCCTATAGATCAGATCTGCAAACTCTAACCATTTTGTGATAGAGTTTAATGTGGGAAGTGTATACAATTTAAGGTTTAGGGAGTTATTGGTTCAAGGAGTTTAATGCATTTAGAAATCCAAACAAAAATCATATATTATTCAATCATTGATTTTAAAATAACTATCAAAATTATGTGTTATTGGTTTATGATTTATAAATACTAGTTAAAATCCTATGTTATTTGTTTACTGATTTGTTTTTTGTATTTTAAAATCCGCAGTATGTTTTAATTGGATTTGAAAGAATTTGATAGTGTAAGATTCAAATCCAAAGATAAAACATGTTATTTCAAAATTCATGTGTTTTGATTTCATAAATAATAAAGATTCACAAATCCTATATGGATTTACAAATCAATAAACCAATAACAACCTCTAGTACATGCACGGGAGTTGCCCGATGATTCTAGGTTTCACGCTTTTTATACGGATTTCGTGAACTTCATAACAGATTTAGAGGCCAAACACTATCAAAGATTTGGTTCCACCTTCTCATCGAACACTCGAAAACGGTTTAGTCTTCACACTGATGAATTGTTTGCACGTGAGAACAAAAGCTTAAGAGTCGAGAGTGAGAAATGGTTAAAGAAACATCTCCTTCTGCGATGGTTGTGGTCTCTCATCAGAGTATAGCCTCTCTTGCATGATTTGTATAATGAAATGATCAAAGACTTTTAACGAGTAATGATGTGTTAGATTGGAGAATTATATAGTAATTGAAATATGAGGATTATGTTGTACTAAAGGCTTTTAACGAGTAATGATGTGTTAGATTGGAGAATAATATAGTAGTTGAAATATGAGAATTACATTAATAAGAATGAGATAGTAAATATATAAAATAGCATAAATTCGTTGGATAGGTCCCGCAATAACAGATTTGATACATATAGTATTTTTTATATTGTTATTGTTTTTTTAACAATTTTTATATTGATTTTGAATTTAAATTTTGAATTTTAAATTTTGAAATTTTCAAATAAATCAAAAAATTCAGTTTTAAGTTACAAAATTTAATCTTTAACATTTATTTATTACAAAATTTGGCCACACTTATGTTCCCTTTAACCCACAAATTGTCAAAAACTATTATTTACAAAATTAACTCCTTCAACCTTTATATTACCAACATTTGTCATCCTCTTCGTCATTCTTAATAAGCATTAAGCATGAGAGCTTCTTGCATAACCACAAAATAAAACGGTATCACATCACCACAAATTGTTTAATCAACTTAACCACAACCTCTAACACATGTCAACATTTTAATTAGTGATATATATAGTACAATTTAATCATTCAATTAATTAAATTATGACACATGTCAAAAATAGATTATTAAGTTTATATAAACAAATAAAGATCCACACTATGTATGGTAAAATATAATTAACTAAATATTTATTATTTAAACCTACTTATCAAATGTGTTGATAGCTACATACTTTTTCTCGGAAGAAACAAATCTAGATATATGCTGAATTAGTAAAAGCAAAAATTCAGATTATCTATGCTTACTGAAAAATATTTTTTTTGAGGATCAATAGATGTTGTAAGCTATGTTTTAGCAACCCAAAAACATAAACTGGGTTGCTAAAACAAAGCTTACACAATCATTGATCCTCTTCAATAACATATTTTTCAGTAAAGAGATGATTTTTTTTTTCAGAATTAAATTTTAAGCAGTACTAATCAGCTAACCATTCATACTTTCACAATACGAGATAGACACAACGCTAAAAGCTGTATTTAAGAGCCTAAACTTAGAAGACAAACTATATACCTTTGCCATAAAGTCTTAATTCATAAGGACAAAATTTTCATCATTGTTAAATTCATAAATTTTATGAGTTGTGATCCTTCAAAACTATTTTCCCCTGATTGAATTTCAACTTTTACCATAGTATTTTTCATCACATTATACTAGAGGTGAAGAATATTGTGGCAAGAGTTGAAATGGAATTAGTGAAATATTTTTTAAGGGCGACAACTCAAAAATTTATACTTTTATAGACATTGTTTAAAAATTGGTCTTTAAGTATTAGGAATTATGACACAGTTGTTTAGCTTACAAGTTTGGGCCCTTGAATTACAAGTTAGAAATTTTATGGTTGTGTTTAGTTTTTCTTTATAATATGCTTTAAACAGAACTCGAAGATCAAATAAGACTATCCTCCATATATAAAGGATAATAATTATATATTACATTTATTAATTATTTTTCTTAGAGTGAATGGATCATAATGTGTTTTTTTTTCTCTATGAACTAATTTGCTATTTTATTTTTATAAGATTTCAAAAATTTCTTACTTCCATTTTAATGAAATCTTTGTTTGTTAAGTATTTTATTTTTACATTCCATATTACTATATAAGACACTCTAAGTAAGAGATTATTTCTATCTTGAATGAATAATTTGAAATATAATTTTTTTATAAGTACATCACGAGAATTTTTAATTGGTGTTAATATATCTTCTTTGAAGCATCAAATCTCATATATATTCCTATTGAACAAAAGAATTCAATCTAAAATGAATATACGGTAGTTGACAATCAACAACCAAACATAGATTTAAAGTTACCTTCGATGAAGAAAATTTGCAAGCTTTGGAACTTCATGTATAAATATGGATATGTATCCAAATAAATATGTCCCTAAACATTAAACAATTAAATAAGAAAAAAATAATAATAAAAAGACATTGAAAAATTATTGTCTCTAAACAAAAATATGTAAGCATGAAGATTTGCTACTTTATTCCCCTAGTGAATCAAAGGATTTGTGGTAGTGATACTACTTTTTTATAAAGCTCCAATTCTCATTATCAGTTCAATGAGATGGTAGTAGATCTATAGTATAAATCTGTATATAACCTAATTTTCTTAACATTTGTACTATATATTCATGAATCTCAGCCAAATAACGAATAATACAAATAATATACAACATAACAGACAAATAATCGAATAAGGAAAACAAAAATCCATAAATTGATAACTAGAACACAAAACTTTATTCACGTCTCTGATAATCAAACATAAAAATCAAATGAACATACCTTTAGTGAATGTGTATCCGAACTCGAAATCTCTTCTTTGTTTCAATTAATCTCCCACACAAATAGTTTTTAATCTATACAAAGGATTTGAAATTTTATTATTCTGGGAACTGCGGCGGAAACGAAAATGAAAGAAGAGATTATGATAATTTCAAAACCTTATATAGAATCACGAAAACCCTAGTTGGATAACAAATAAAATACATGTACTACTGTCGTTTAGAATACTAGTTATATTGAGGTTAATAACAGGCCCAACCCATATAAAAAGGCCCACCCTATATAATATCAATCAAAAGTTTTAATTTTATACATAGTACAAAGTACAAACACATAATCTTGGCTTTGATCTTGACCACCACTTTCGCTATAATCTTGGTGTCTCAAATTGACCCGGAAAATCTTCATGCAAAAGGATGCAACTAATTGTGATATGTCTCTCATTTTGTATCTTGTACTAAAGGTAGTCCCGGAGCATTTATGCATCTTCGCATATACCCGAACCAAGACACAAGTTGAATTCTTGATCCTCATCATCATAAATATATGATTTTGTGTCAATTAATACAACCATTGGAATGTAACTCAATTTCAGCTTCGTCACATATTCATCTATCTGAATCTTCCTACAAATTTTATTCACTAACCTCAACTGATCATATCCTAAACGATATACCGTGCAAGCTACCTTCTCCAAATATCAAATTTATTAAAATTCGGTTTTCTTGTTTGGTTTGTATCAGTTTGGTATGGGTAAGAATGTAAGATTAACAACCCTCTAGTCAGCTGTGTACAGATAGGTGAAGGGTAAAGTCATAATCTACTACCAACAAGAGATCTCAAATGGACAAGTCTAAAGCTATACTTCACAACTTGTATTCTACCACACTTTGGTTCTGTATCTTTTCTAACTCATCATCATATTACATAGAAAGTAGAAAAGTTAAGATTCAAGAATGTTCCAAATGTGTATGATTTGGTATGGTGGTTATAATATGTATAACATCTACATTTCAATACCTCCAAAATAAGCTATACTATTCATTTTCTTTGTCCACTTTCTTCCCAATCCAGTTGGCTACAATAGGAGTCAAAGCCACGGTAGGCGGAAACCTTATCGGGGATGCAGCTTTATGCGCTGCATAAGCCAAAGCAAAGGCTCCTACTTTCTCTCCTGTCTCATTAGTCGAAATCCCAACCTTGAAACAAAAACATCGAAATCAGCTTCACTCAATCCACAAGGGAAAAAAACAAAACATAAAACTTAGTATGATCAAGAAGTGAAAGAAACCTTGAGAAGAAGAGCTTGAACATCAACACCGGAAGTGACAAGGACATAGCACAGAGAAAACGAAATGAGTGAAAGAGTAATTGACGTGGCGAGATAAGCACCTCCATACTTAGCTAGCAACTCTTTAGCCTCATCTGTCTTTGACTTCTTCTTCTTATTCTCTCCATCAACTCCTTCTTCATCTTTAGAGCTCAATATCTAAATCACATGTTCATCCACAACACCAGTTTAGTAAACAAAAGCTTCTACAACAACCAAAACTAGTCTAAATCAGCCAATCAATTAACTCAGAAACAATCATATCTGCTCACACTACTCACCCCAAACACCAATTTAGAACACAGAGCTTTTACAACTACCAAAACTAGTCTAAATCACTATCTTTTAACTCAGAAACGATCATATCGGCTCACACTATTCATCCCAAACACCAATTTAGTTCCTTTAAAAGCTTACACTACTTCAAAATCCACAAAAAATTGTCTAAATCAGCCTATCACTGAACTCACAAACAACAATTAGTACACCTAAAGCTTCCTCCACAGCTTCAAAACCCACCAAAATTTGTCTAAATCAAACCTATCATTGAACTCAGAAACAATCATATCTGCTTATATATTCATCCAAAAACACCAAATTTACTACACTTAAAAAGCTTCTACAGCAATCTACAAATCCCAAAATTTGGAGACAGAACCATCAATTTCAAACTTATACAATCAAGATTACGAATTAACAACAACTTGAGAATGAAATTGAAGAGGAAGAAAGAAGACCTTCCATAAACCAACTTCAAGTCCATATTTCTTGGTAACTTCCTCAGCAGAGGAAGAAGAAGAAGAAACGTTCTTCTTCTCAACCTCTTCGGCCTTCTCGCGAACGGCTCTGCATCTGAATCTCGTTGAAGAAACTCGAATTGAAGAGTAGAAGAATCTGATTTTAGGGTTTGTGGTGTTCAACAAGGTAGAAGAAGAAGAAGGAGGAACTTGTAGAAGCATCGCCATTGTTTTTTCTTCCTTCGTCAGTCACAAGAAGATAGAAAAACCAAATCTTTTCACCTTTTTCTAATTTTTTTTTTTTTTAACACAATTATTTAGTTAAATTAATATATTTATTTTTTAATCATTTCATGGGTTAATAAAAATTAAGTGAGGATGAGGTTGTTTTGGTTTTTGATACACACAACATACGTATGGCTTAAATGCAGGCCAAGTCGTCTCTCACGTACGTATTGAGATTTCGAGAGAATAAAATTTGTAAAATGAAAAAATATTACAAGAGGTTGATTGAGAATAATTTCAATTTTTTTTCAGTTTCATTTTTTTCTTCTTTTTAACGCCTTGCTCTTATATTAAAATCAAACTGTGTCATACAAATTAGCCCTGGGCAAAATATTCGTTAGATTCGGTTCGTTTCGATTCGATTCGAAAAATTCAAATATGTATAAGATATTGAACCGCAGCAAATATGAAAATGTAGTATTCGTAAAAACCGAAGCAAATAACAAATATTGATTTTCTTAGTGCCGAATATCCGCTTCGCTTCGTTTATTTATATATATGTATTAATATAAATTATTTTATAATATATATAATATATGTGTATTTATAGATTTGGATATATATCTTATAGGCTTATTATTCAAATTATTATATTTTGGTCCTTTTGGTTTTTTTTGCTAAATGTTGTTCTTAAGCAAATAAAATTTTATTAGAAAAATCAATATTAAAAATAAAATGTGAGAATTCTATGGACGGTGGTTACATTTTCTTCTTATTTTGAAAACATGTCAAACAAGAACCTCTAATATCTTATATTTTGCACTTTATATTTGTGTACTATATGTTTTTAGTTTAAAAAAAAAAAAAAGATGGTCGAAGCGAAGCGAAGCAAGTAATTCGCAAATATTACGAAAAATATTCGAATATTCGAAGTTCCGAATACTCGAAAATTTACGAAGCGAAGCAAATAGCAAAATCAACTATTCGGTCGAAGCGAAGCAAATCACAAATATCACAAATTTTCCGAATATCCGCTTCGTGCCCAGGGCTAATACAAATAGTTAATAAGCCACAGAGGTGGTACTGTAAAAGTTTGGAACAAAGAATTAGAAGGAAAAGCCCTTTGTGCTAACTTGTCGGCATCAGCATTTTGATCCCTTCGAACATGAGCAAGAGAGCAAGTAGGGAAGCTTCATCATCCAGTATCGTATGTCAATAAGTAAAGTACCAATATGATTATGATCACCACCTGAATGAATCAAATTAGTTTAGTTCTTTGTTATCTCCTTCAAACCAAACATGTCTGTAACCATGCATTCAAGCGATTTGCAGAACATGAAGGAAGCCGAACGCTTCCGCTTGAAGAGAGGAATTCGAAGGAGGAAGCCTAGCGCAACCTGAAGACAAAACATTACCACTTTTATCCCAATCTATCTTATTTTCTAACCACAGATCAGCAATAGTCATATATAGTAGGATCAATTACTGGGCCAGAAGCTGGACTAGGAGGAAGAGAAGGGAGCCAAGGATCAGACCAGATGTTTTGTTGATTTACCATTTACCAATACGCACCGAAGCCCCTTGATGAAGGAGAGCCTTGCCCCTCTTGTATAGAACGCCACCCATAAGAGCCATAATTCCCCTGTCTTAGCATGAATCAGTTTCATATTCGGTTATTTCGGATTTTTTGGTTTTTTTTTTCTTAGTTTTGAAAATGTTGTTGAACTTAGCCGGTTTGGTTTTGTTGGCTTTCAGTTTAATTCGGTTTTCAAATTTCACCGAAATTAACTGAATTTGGTTTTGAGAAGAAATTCGTTTTTGGTTATTTAGGGATAATTTTGAGGTCTTTTTTGTTTTTTTTTTTTAAAAAAATATATCGATTATTTTGGATTCGGTTATTTTATGTAGTTCGGTTATTTTAGGAGTTCGGTTTTGTTCAATGAAATTTGAAAACCAAACTAAAATTAAAATTAAAATTTGGTTTTGTGTAGTTCGTTTATTTCAATTATTTTGGATTCGGTTAATTTGGTTTTGTTGGCTTTCAGTTATTATTTTGGATTTGTTTATATGTTTTTAAAAGAAAAATCAGAATTAAAAATTAAAATTTGGTTAACTGATAACCGAGCCAAAGTATTTTGATTTTCTGATATTTTGTTGTTGTTGATCGGTTCAGTAGCCATAACCAAAAGCAAACCAAATATCCAAAATATCAGTTTGGTTAATAATCTCAGTCTAGTTTCATTTGCAAATTAAATTGAACAGGTTGCCATATATATATATATGGCAGTTGAAAGCTATTTTTTAAATAAAATGTTTATATGTAAAAGTTGTTATGCATTACCACTCATAAAAGTTATATCAACTAGTAAAAAAATTTCTTTTTTAGTGAAATGATTTGTTGGCAAGAAGATTTGTCTTGAGATTTGTCTTTGTCTTCTTTGATAAAATGATATATATACATATATATATATATATATATATATATATAAAAATTAATATTAATGTAGTTTTCTATTAGAAGTTTACTTTTTGTGGGAATGTTGATAAATTTAATTGGTTTTATTCTATAGTTATGTTCTTTTTTTTTATATATATTTTTAAATATATTCTATTGAAATTAAATTAATAAAAGTGACGATGAGCAAAAAGAAGAATTAAAAAATCATTTTTTACAATAAAATGCATCATCTAATATAATATAATAAGGTTTGATTGAATTATATAGAAAAAGTAGAGCAAGAGTGAAAAAAAAATGTAGAATCAAAGTATTAATTATTTCTTGTTCCAAACCAATGCAGAGACCATCTTCGAACTACAAGTGGTATGTGCTTGATATGAGATCAAACTCGTCCAAGTCTAGGGTTCAAGCAAATAAGACCCCTTGTTAACGTTAAACCCAACAAGTAAACTAATCAATCATATGATTACTTAAAAATATCATACGCATAAAATCGATTTAGAATATGAAGGGTTTAGAGATTACTTTTAAACTTTACAACACAAAATCTAACCATCCACACCGATCAAACACACATCAGAATGTTCAATATACTCAGATCAGCCATGGTCATGCAGTTACCTCTGATTTGGATTGATTGAAAGACAAGGACAGAGAAGAAGAGAACCATAACAACCTCTCTTTACACCCATAACCACGAAATCAACAAACTCTTTCTTCAAAACCCAAGAACTGCCACATCAACCTCTAGGAGACCCTCTACAACCTCTCCTTAAGCCTCATTGTAAAGATACGATCCCTTTGTTTTTTTTTAATTCGCCAGTTAATGGTCCCATACTCACTACCTAGCACACTGAAATAGATTAAACTATTAAACCAGATTAAACTGACTAAACCAGATTAAATCAGTCAAACAACCTGCAGAAGATCAATTAGAGATGTTAATCCAATAAACCAATGTTAAAGAACCAACAACTACCCAAAATAGCATAGTCATCCTAACATGCTTCTAAGTTCCAAAACCTAACAACTTAACAATGTCTTAGAATAATCAAAACATCCAACGAGTGCCAATATCATTCTTCTCTCCTTGCCTTAATTCCATGGTCACCCTTTGCCTTTACTTGCATCACAAACAAGATATGCATAAGTATTGCCAGAAATACTTAGGGAGGCAATCATCCCAACAACTTGGCTATAAACAAGAGCGATACAAATCACATTCAGGTAAATCAAGTAAAAAAACATCAAACAATAAACTCAATCGCCTACGGAGGACTGATGTCGGTCGACACTCGCGCCTGAAACCTTAATTGACGCGTAGTGTTGATTGACACTCACCATTGTGTCGATTGTCACTCGCGACCATCCTCGCGACATAGCTGATTGGTGTCGATCGACATCGATACCCTAACATCACTCCAGTCACTTCTCCTTGACGGATCTCCATTTTTTTGCACTCCAGGAACGATGATGTCTTTTTAGAAGGTCGTACAGATGCACCAATACATAAAAACAATCACACAAACAAAGGAATAAACCAAATTAATAATGAAATCACAGAAAACAATGACCAAACTGCTCAAATAAGCCTTACTGCAATCACATCCTAATTGGAAAGAACCCTCCTAATACTCACAGCCACGAAACTCTCCTTCTCTTTGCTAAAACTCCCAAGAACAGGCCACATTACTCCACAAACCTTTGAAAACCAAACTTTGGATCAACTCTCACTTTCTGTTCTTTTTTCTCCACTTTCAAGAAACGAGAAAACACCTAAATGAAGAAGAAAACAGTTGATCGAGCCTTTAAGTCATCCTAGGGTTGCTTCCAAAACCCAAAATTAAGCTGAACCGAAGATTTAAAAATTAAACCGCCTAACCTAATTTTGTTGGTGTAGATTGACACCACACCCTTGGTGTGGGTCGACACTCAACATTTCTGAACACGAGCCAAAAAGCGAGAAGAATGTGACTGCTCTCGAGACTTATGTCAAAATTAGGGCTCTCCTAAACGGATTTAACACTTAACCAGACTATTTAAACGTAAACCACTTTACTGAAAATATTTTGTTACAACTTATAACTTTCATGCTAATATTAAGTTAAAAAAGAAAAAAGAAACATAAATTACTTAATTAGTTAGTAAGGAAACTTGCCTTTTTGAAAAAAACAAAAAAAGGGAAACATTATTTTCTAATATCATTTTCTAATTTTTAATTTTCTTCTCTCCTTTCATATTTATATGATCTTTTATTTATTTTTAAATTCATTTTATTACATCAAACATATGTATAATAAAAATCCATTTTTCACATATGTTGCAATTTGAATATTTTTAAACGGACGTATATTACTTCCCACGTCTGGTAGAAACTTTTATACAATGATTCAGAAACATTATAAATTGGGCTAATATGCTTCTAACTACAAATAAGCAGAAAACTTGATTTCTCAGTCCAAATTTAAACATATTATTCGGTTTAATCCGATTTTTTATTTGAGAAATTTAAAACTTTTAAAAACCTTTACATATTTTAATATTTAATTTTTTTAAGTCTTTAATGAATATTTTAAAATTTAAATCAATTTTTTTAAAAAAGTGGGTTGTCTCTTCTCGCACATTGGTCTTACTAAAAAAGATATACTCTTGATTTCAAATGATGATAAGTTATTATGCAAAATAACTAGCTATGGAATCAATTATTACAATTTTTTTTTGTTTTTAAAAAGAACATTTATACACGTGTTGTATGACGAGATGAATTTGAATCTCATATTTTTAAAATGGATTAAAACTTTATTATACTATTTTCAACAATATAAATATAAGATATGACGGAGCAAACTGATTTAGTTAAGTTTTATACTATGTAATTTTAACAATGTTTACAATACATTGAAGCATAATATAATAATTTGGATTTTTATATAAAATATTGAATTTTGTACTTAAAAAAGAAAAAAAGTAAAAAAAATCATACTAAAAAACTTGAACATATGAGCAAGTATTGATCTATGAGAAACGAAACACATAATTTTATTGAAAAGCAAACGACTGGATGAAACAAAACAAAGAAATTGTCATATTGTATGAAACCTCATGGGCATATATATCTATCTAGCTATATACTCTTTTGAAGTTGGATAATTCGTGAGCAATACTATTTTGATAAATTTTTATACTCTCAATATGACAATGCACATTACACAAAGTAAAACAACTTTAAAAAAGAACTAGATATTACTTCAATCTTTGATCCCACATTATTGTCAAAGTCAGCTTAACTCCCTTTAATTAGTTTTGTCCATAAAAAAAGGGTTAGTCTGTCGCCGATTGGACTCTTTGATGTTGAGTTCTTGGAGCATGTTTGGATCAGTTTGATGCATTTTTGATCCATCAAAACTGGTTATGGCTTTCCATCACGTTACTTGCTGATATCTTCTACTGCTGAAATTCTACACACAATCGTTCGTTACCAGCTTGTACCACCGTCGGACTTTTACACTAACTTCTTTAGTCAGCGGTGTTGTCGCCTTTAGCCATTCGATTTCTGTATGCAATCGAATTGTTTTGTTCAATTTATACATAACAAAAACTTTACTAAGGAACTTGCCAAAAAATCAATGGAAGTAATTAAGATGACGTCCTATTATGAGTTTTGCTTTATCCACTCGTAATGGTACGTCATCTTAATTAATTCTTTTGATTTTTTGGCAAGTTCTTTAGTAATGTTTTTGTTATGTATAGTAAAAATAATTCGGCTGCATACAAAAATTGAAAGGCTGAAGGCGACAACAACGTTAACTGAACAAGTGAGTATAGAAGCCCAATTGTTGAAGGTGGTACAAGGTGGGAATGAACAAGTGAGTGTAGAAGTCTAGCAGCTGAAGATGTCAGCAAATGAAGTGATGCAAAGCGACAAGTAGTCTGATAACCAAAAGGTAAGTTTGGAGTAATATACAATTTGCATTCAAAAGTACAAAAGTTTTGTAGGATGATTGTTCTAGATGATGCAAATGAACCAGAATGATTAAGATATTTCTGAATATTTTCGACTTTGTGAGAGACAATGAAGTTGCAAAGCTTGGTTATTATATACATAGTTAATGTTTCACTTTGACTAACTCTATCTATTTGTGGTAACCATAGAGAAAACAACTACATACACCATCATCAATCTCTTTTAGGGTCTAAACTCACTCTAACATGTAAATATATATATATATTTTATAAATATCGTATAAATACATTTTCAAAACCTCTTAAAAATCTTGTAAAATTTTTTTTAAACCATTTAAAACTTTAAAAATATTTGGATCGAGTATCCCACCTGAAGTTATTATCCAGAAGTAACTTATAAACCATATAAAATGTAATAATTTTCAGCTTTAAAAAGGGTTATTTTTTAAAACTGAAAAATGAAAGGGCATATTTGATAAAGAGTATACCAAAAAGGGTGTATTTCTCAAAATTTCTCTCTTTATTTTATGCATGCACTACTTGGAGTTTTAACTAAATCAATAAATCTTCTCTGGAGCAATTAAAATATCATATTTATTCATATAAACATAAAAGAAGCATTTTTTATTGTAAGAAATAAATATATAATAATTAAGAGAATTAACAACCAAATATAGATTTAAAGTTACCTTCAATGAAGAAACTTTTCAAGAAGTCCTAACTTCATGTAGAAAAATGCAGATTTAAAATGAAAACCATCCCTCGACATCCAAATATCAAATGAAAACCATCTCTGCACATCCAACAGTTAAATACATTAGATAACAAATCCATCAACACAAATAACTTATTTGAAATAAGAAAGCAAATGTTAGGGATCTTATTTTCTTAACCCAAATAGTTAACCATGCAGATTTTCTCTTTTATTCCCATGGGAAATCAGAGGATTTAGCACCAATACTAAAGAAGATGATAAAGCCATATAACGAGTTTGTTCCAGATCTTACTTTTATCATCTTCTAAACTACAATTCTGGAATCAAAGCCTAAACATCCAAACAATACAAATAAATTACAAACATACACAAAAATAACAAAGGAAGAAAAAAATATCTATAATCAAATAATCAATAACAAGAACATAAAATGTATCCACATATTTATAAGAAAGTACATAAAATCAAATGAAAGTACCTTTACTGAATGTGAAACCGATTCCGGTATCTCTAATTTGTTTAGATTAATCTCTCACAGTAATTGTTTTTGATCTAGTGAAAGCATTTGAAAATTTATCATTCTAGCAAGTACGGCGGAAGTGAAAATGAAAGAAGAGATTATGAGAGTTTCAGATCATTATATACAACAACTAAAACCCTAGTTGCATAATAAGTAAAACACCTACATTATTGTCGTATAGAGTATGGGCTAGATTGAGGTTTATAACAAACATGATCCTTAATAAAACACTGGCCCTATACATTATCAATTAAAGGCCCAAATTCTGTAGAAATTTCAGTTTATATTACCAATTCTAAGATTATGTTAAAATCTGGATACTTGAATAACACAACATTCCAATAACATAGTTTTTGAATTGCACATTTTCACATTGAGCAAATGCCACAAACAAGCCATAGGTTTTTATTGCTAAGGATGTAAAAATTCATTTCACATTGAAAGTGTGGGTTACTGATCAATTAAGGATAACCAAATCATGGTCTTGCACTACAAGGAAATAGTGATATTGCAACATAATTTTGCAATGATCGTATTCGTCAAAATTTTGTAACAGGTTTTGCCATATTTTTGCAATAATAAATGAAATGTTGCAATTTTCTTACAAATTTATTGCCAATTAACTACAAAAGTCTAAGTTGCAATTTTTCATCACAAATTAGCAATATTTTTACGACATATAAAAAAGTCTTGCAAAATTTGTAAGAAATATTCAACGATTATGAACCGTGGCTATTTTTCAACAAAATTATAGTAAATATATGTGACAAATTATGTGACAATTTTGCCATAGTATTTACAACATTTATTACTCTATTGCAACATATACGATATATATAACTTTTGTCAACATATAAACTGTTATAAATCATATGGTGGATTGTCATAACAAGCACAGTCCGGCCCGGTCCATCACAAGCCCGATCTGTCCTATGTTGAGGAGGTTTAATATTTTCCTTATTGTATTAGGATTTACTCATAACCCCTTGTATCAATCCTTATATAAAGGAGTCTAAGCTAATGAATAAAGCATC